CACTGGACGTCCTACTAAAACAGCGTGGAGACGGGCCTCTTCGCGACAGCCTGGCGATGTCACCGCGGCCCCTTGTACAGTGGCGAGTTGGTGCCCATCCTGTGGCTCTTATATGACCTCTTTAACAAGAAGGTGGAGCCAGTGTTAGCTGGGCTGCGCCCGACCCGAGGAGGAGGAGGAGGAGGAGAAGGAGGAAGAGGAGGAGGAGGAGGAGGAAGAGGAGGAGGGGAAGGAGGGGGAGGAGGAGGAGGAGGAGGAGGAGGAGGAGGAGGAGTAGGAGTAGGAGGAGGGGGAGGAGGAGGAGGAGGCGGCGAGGAAGGTTTGGGTTCCTAGTGGCAGATTTCATGTGGCACTCGCCCGAGCCAGGAACTCGGACGGCCCAGCAGCCCCCCAGAGAGGTCGGGCAAACGGTGGGCACGGCCTCGGAGCCACGAGCACCCACGAGACTGCGGGCCCCACGCGCTCGTCGCGCGGAGGGTGGCGGAGAGACTCGGCTGGCCCGAACGCCCCCCTTACAGCAGCTGCATCGAGAGAAACCTTGCACAATAACAAATACTGGTGACGGAACTGGACAACTGTCCGTACAACCTGTACTCTACGGGCCTGTACTATTCCCGTACTAGTAATCATAGTAGTGCTGGTTACTGGTAGTAGTTGGCCTGTATTACGCTTTTGCCACAATGACAAAACGTGGTGACGGGGCTGACGGGGGACAGCCGTCGGTACAACCTGTGCTCTGCGGGTCTTTCTGGGCGTCGTGCGGCGGAAAGTCTCGACGCGCCCACCGCTGGCGTGATGCACGTGCACAACCGCGAGCCGATGCAACACCTGCCGGGTCGACCTGCGAGCACGGAGGGCGGCGTGCAGGGCTCGACCCCGCCCCCCTGCAAGATTGGCCCAACGGTTGGCTCTGGCTACACATGAATTCTCGATGTGATGCCCCCGAACGTGGGTGGCCCGAAAGGCCTCTCAAAGGCCCCCGTGGTCATCGATATTTCGCCAAATCCTTTCCCACACATCGGAGTTGGGCCGTCTAGGGCCACACGTGAATCCCTGGCCCCAAAAGACTGTCCAGGATACCAAGATAATCAGTATGTCCATACACAGGAAGAGTGCACACTTCTAGCACCTTCGAGAATGCAAAAAGCCCAGCCCTCGGAGAGCTGTGAAGGGTCCAGGCAAGGCTCCATAACCATCAAGTCAATCGTGGCGGCGTATTGGATGAATCCACATCCTGCTCTCGACGACTCTGGACAGAACCATGCTTGCATGCAGGCTCCATCTGTAGCGAGGCGTACTGGAAATGCCATCGTTCGCTGTCGCCTCTCCCAGGCAGCACGGGGAAGAACGAGCGCTGGTGCTCTCGCTCAGTACACCCCCATGCGATGTGATATGGCGTACAAACTTCACAGGGGCAAAACGGGCAGTAGGAGATCCTGGAATAACCATGCTTGTACAGACGACTCGGCGCCCAGAAGCCACCACCGACGATCGTACGGAGCATGGCAAATTGCTGATACGTCGGGTGCCACGTGGAGATCTGGGGAGACTGCTCATCATGAGGCTCATTGTCCTCTGCAGGCTCTTCTATGGCACATTTGAGTAATCAAACTATGGGCTCAATCCAATACCCTATGGGCTCGCTGGGGTCCATGCCGTCGTCGGCGGGAGTCATCCGTTTGGCCCAAGACTCCCATATACGGCGTACAGCGGCGGCGCGGGCCAAGTCACGAACATTGACAGGCGCGTCCACTCGAGCTGGTCCCCCAAACCTGTGACGAGGATGCAGGCCCAGACAGCCCGTCAACCTAGGTCACGAAGGGAGAACAGCATGGCACCCGTGGCGCCCACAACCTCATCCCACGGCTTCGGGAACTGCAGGATGCGAAATCTCTGACGATGCCACGCCTGCTTCAACACATCATGAACGATACATCGGTCCCGAACCAGGAGAACCCACTGGAAGATCGGCTGCACCCAACAATAAGCCTGAGGATCATCTCCCATGGATCCCTGGAGGCAGGACGAAATCCAGGAAGAAGTAGAGGCCCCTGGGGTATAGCACGTGCCTCTAATGACGTTTCGCATCTGCTAGACTAGTGGTGGCGGTGCTGCATGAATCCCAGCAAGGAGGAGGAGGAGGAGAAGGAGGAGGAGGAGGAGGAGGAGGAGGAGGATGGAGGAGGAGGAGAAGAAGGGAGGAGGAGGAAAAGGAGGAGGAGGGGAATCGAGGAGAGGAGGAGGAGGAGGAGGAGGAGGAGGAGGAGGAGGAGGAGGAGGAGGGGGAGGAAGAGGAGGATCGAGGAGGAAGAGGAGGAGGATCGAGGAGGAAGAGGATCGTGGAGGAGGATCGAGGAGGAGGAGGAGGAGGAGGGAGTAGGATCGAGGAGGAGGGAGGGGGTGATGGGGAGGGGGCTCCCCTGGGGGCGGCAGGCTCGCCTGCCGGAGAGAGCCGCAAGAAACGTGGCCGCGGGCTCGCCCGCGGGCTGCCCGCCGGCCCCGCCCAGTGGACCATGCCCTTGCCAACGAGATCCCTCTCCGGCCCGGACCGCCACAAAAACGGCTCGGGATGGAAAGCCGCTCGGGCTCGAGAAAGCGCTGCCTCCTCCTCCTCCTCATCCCCCGCCTCGTCATCCCCCCCCCTCTGCCAACGGGATCCCTCTCCGGCCCGGACCGCCACAAAAGAACGGCTCGGGTCATGTTGCTCCCATCGCACTTTAGGACCACATCCCGGAAACAATTTCGAGTCCCCAGAAAAAAATCAAAACAGCGTTGCACGGGTATCGCCTCCCAGCGCCGGACAAATGAAAGCCCCCGAGTTTCGGTGTTTTCGTGGTGCTCGAACTTCTCTCTGGTGATCAAAGCAAAAGTCTGTTGGAACACCATAAGGCTCGGTATGAAAAGCCGCTGGGGCTCGGAAATGCGGCCTTCTCCTCCTCATCTCCAACCTCGTCCTCCTCCTCCTCCGAGGAGGAGGAGGAAAAGGAGGAGGAGGAGGAGGCGGAGGCGGAGGCGGAGGCGGAGGCGGAGGAGGAGGAGGAGGAGGGGCAACGAAGGGGGCGGGGGACCGGCTCAGGGTTCGGTGGCAACTCATGGGAGCCTCCCATACCATCTTGTTGGCTCTTGCGAATCGACGCTAATCGACTCTAGTCGACGCTAATCGACGCTAAATCGACGCTAACCGACGCTAACTGACGCTAAATCGGCGTTCTCTCATCGACCCCCAGACGCTAATCGACGCTAACCGACGCTAAAGACGGAATTGAAAGGATACACCAGGCTCCCATGACTTGCTACCGAATCAGGGGGAGTGGGAGGGGGGAACGGCGACCTGGAATCGGCGGTGCATCGTCGCTCGATCTTGCCAACGGCATCCCTCTCCTGGGGCTGGCCTGCTGCTTCTGGTGGCGAGGGAAATGGCTGCGCGTCGGCCACGATCGAACTTTCCAGCTTGGCGACTTCATTGCATGTTACGTCGATGCACCTCCATGTCTCGCTTGAGCTCGGTCTTTGGGCTGCATGGAAATTGGGAAGATATACCCCGGACCTCTGCGCCCCAGGCAGAAAGCCTCGGGTGAAATTGGCGGCCTGGACTCTCGTGTCAAGACTTTGGAGACCAGGATGCATCAGCTCGAGGCCTCGCTGTGTACATTTGTGCACAGGGCGCTGTGGCAGACAGGACTCGCAATTGGGCAAAAGTTGTATGGCCCGCCGAATGCATGATTACAGCGTGAAGGTTCATAGATCAAGGCTTTTAAGGCCTGAGGTTGCCAACAGTACTCTTGCTCCCACTGCTGCGTGCCCGATGCCGTTTCGGATGTAGGGGGCCCTGCGAGCTCAGGGTCTTTAGTCCAGAATCCATATCTGTTCTTATCGGACGGGCTGCCTGATGCAGGCCAACGAACACCCTCGGTGGTGTAGCAGACACATCGCCGGGCACCTCGGCACACTTGAGATGCTCGGCAAAAACGGTCGAATTTCCAAGGGAGACGACCCAGGCGTAGGTTTCTGGCATCGCCTGGATCGTGCAATGTGGAGCGATCGCCAGCTTTTGGATCGCCAGATCACTCCACGTAGGCTCAGGTCGGGCGTGTCCCCCTACAGGCGAATGTTGGACGACAAAAGCTACATGCCCCATAACAATATCCCCAACTACTCAAGACATGACAGAACAATCGTCCCCAGACTGTTTGTTTCTTCTTTACATGTTTCCAATATTCCTCCTGTAGAAAGATCGGGAGCGGCAAAGAGGGGGGTGTCCAAGAGGGGGGGGGTGCAAATCATGACCGGCGGCACGCGCGCGGCCCAGCGGGGGGGCCTGGGACGTAATAAAGTAAGAAGAGGCGCCGTGAAATCTGAGGACAAATCATGGCCCCCGCCATGAAATCCACCCCCCCCTAGTCATCACCCCCCTCTTTTCCGCTCCCGACTGTAGAAAGACACGCCCGACTTAGATGTGGGCCGCTTCCGGGCCACCTGTGGCGCGTTCCTCCTCCTTGAACACCCGCTGTGCGGGACCGCCGCCGCGTCGACGCGGCGAGAACCCGCCCTAGAGGGGAGCAGAAGCGCACTCCCACTGCCCCCTGGCCGCAGCAGGGGGGAGGGGCACGAGGAGGAGGAGGAGGAGGAGGAAAGGAGGAGGAGGGGGAGGAGGAGGAGAAGGAGGAGGAGGAGGAGGAAGAGGAGGGGGGGTGGGGGGTGCTCGCTGTGCCGCTCGTGCGGAAGATCCTCGCCATTGGGTTGTGAGGCTCTCTGGCCCCAGGCCCCCGAGGGGGGAGAGATGGGGCCAGGTGGGTCTTGGGGGGCGGGGAGGCGAGCGAGGAGGGAGAGGCGAGGAGGGGGAGGCGAGGAGACGAGCGAGGAGGGAGAGGCGAGGAGGGGGAGGCGCGGCGGGAGGGGGAGACAGGAGTTTCCAAGAGAATCCAGCCGTGGCGCCGGGAGCTCGCCAGGATGAGCAGCGGCAGGCACGGCATCGCTGCCCCCGCTGCACGGCAGGGCACTTCGGCTCGAACTTCTTCGCCTTGTCGATGTTGTCGTAGATGAGGCCGAACCCCGAGCTGCGGCCGCCGCCGAAGGCCTCCACGGCCCCAACGCTGGACAGGGCGAAGCCACAAGGTTTACCCCTCGAACGAGATCGACGAGCATGGCCAATGCACTCACATTGGGCCTCTTGGAGGTCTTCGTAAGAACGATTAGCGGATAGAAATCCATTATATTGAATCATGAAGATGCAAATAAACTGGATCAATATTAATTAGTTTAAAGCACAAAGCCGGATTGAGCTGGATGCCAAATACTGAGCCGAATTGCATGGGATTCCACCAGAAACAGCGGGACCACACCTGATTCGGCCAGTTCTCGACAACGGATACAGGGGAGACCAACATATACCCATACCGCTACTCCTCGAACCTCTCCCGGGGTGCGTGGTGACCAGAATTTCGATGCGAATCCAGCGGTGACGACGAGGGCCTCCGACGAGCCCCAAAAAGAAGAAACATATTGAAGGGTAGCGATATGTGATATGTGTACCTTGTGCTCCTCCGAGATATGGCAGCGCGGAGGCTGGATTTCACCTTGCAGGAATTGGATCCTAACAGGTACATCGACATGGAATCGGCGACACTACATCGCCGATAGATCGGCGATAAGGGGATTGGGCGATTGACGCATCGACCCCCCCCCCCCTATCTGGCATGATTTGCATCCTGACCGGTGCGTGGCTTCAGACCTGGCGCGCCCCGCTTCCCAGTCTGAGCCTGGGGAAGGCCCCGGCCCAGCGGCGCGCGCGCCGAGAAGGCCCCCCAAGGAGAGTGGATGCCGCGCCTCTGCCCGGCAGCAGCGAGGACGGATCGGGCTCGCCAGGGGTCCAGAGCTCGCCTGGCCCAGCGGGCCAGAGGCGTGCTAAAATCTCTGGTAACATACTCTTTCTAGCTCGCGCGCGCGTGGCTTGGGCGTTGCGTAATGGGGGGGTCATAAATGGGGGGGTGGCGAGGGTGGTCCGAAAAGGTACCCAAACGGTACCTAAACGAGCCCCCTGGGGCTCTGGAGGGGCCCGAAAGGGGCACGAAAGGGGACCTTTTCTGACCCCCCCATTTGTGACCCCCCCATTAAGCAACGCCCAAGTGGCTGCACCTGGGCGCCCCCCGGGCGCACAGAACCCCCCTGCGAATCCCAAGCGGTCCCCGTCACGGATGCCGGAACTCCTGGGGGGCTGCCTTCAGGGCCGTCACGGGCGTCCCAGGAGGTCCCCACGGCGGTCTACGAGGGCCCAGGGTCCCCGGAAGTTGTTCCAAGATGCCCAGGATAGTCTCCAGACGGCTGCCACCGCCTCCACGACGCCCGAAGCTGCCTCCAAGACCACTCCCAAGGAGCCCCCTTAGAGGCAACATTCCACGATTTTCATCTGGCACTTGAAGGTTTTCAACGTTCTCATCTTTTCGGTCGCCGACGCTCTAAGAAGGCCCAAGAAGCCCCTAAGACAGCCCATTTAGCCTCCAAGAGAGCCCCAAAGCGGCCCACGGAGACTCCACGACACTGGAGAGGCCTAAGACGCATTCAGGAAGACCCCTCGTAGGGGGAGCCCCAACGGACATTTCGAGCGGTCGGCCTCATAATCGCCCCAAGAGCCCCCCCCCCATGCCTCCGAAGAACCCTCAGTAGGCCTTCGGCCTCCAAATCGCCCGCAGAGTCTCCCCCCAGCCTCCGAGGAGTTCCCAGTAGGCCCCACGAGGCTCCCAAGTGGCCCCATAGAGAGTACAAGAGGCCCCAAGAGGCGCAAAGAAAGCCCCAAGAGGCATCCAAGGTGACCCCAGGAGGTCCCCAGGAGCCCCTGAAACTGCGACACAGGGGCCCCCCGACAACCCTCCGAAGATACACCAAGACGCATCCAGAAGGACTCTCACCCACAACCGCAGCAGCGCCGACCAGCAGCGCCACATGGCACACGAACGCGCGCGCAAACGCCAACGATGGCAAAATGCAGGCGGGCGGAATAAGCGACGCGATTCAGTAATCGCTAAGCGTTCGTCTGCGCGTCCTCCTCGTCCTTCTCCCCCTCCCCCTCCCTCGTCCCCTCCTCCTCCGGGGCGGCGGTGTCTGCCCCCTCAGGGGCGTTCAATTAAATCCGATCCGGCGTGTGAGCTTGTGAGAGCGTGGGCTTGAGCTCGCTCAAGCTTCGCTCTGGAGAGGGGGGGGACGAATTCCAACGGAATTCAGTGGACGCACAAGCTCTGGAGAGGGGGGGAGGGACGCTTCGATATGGAGAGGGGGAAGGGGGGGGCGGGGTGCGGGGGGGGGTGGGGGGGGGTGGGGGGGGGGGGGGGGGGGGGGGGTGGGGGGGGGGGGGCGGGGGGGGGTGGGGGGGGGGGGGGGGGGGGGGGGGGGGGGGGGGGGGGTGGGGTGGGGGGGGTGGGGGGGGGGCGAATTCAACGGAATTCACTGAACACGCCAAGCTCTGGAGAGGGGGGGGGTCGATTCCAACGGATTTCACTGAATGCACCGTAGGTAGCCCCCCGGGTGACGTAGAAGGGGGAGGGGGGGGGGCGGGGGGGCGGAACTCCAGAGCGGAACGAATTCACCATGAACGCACAATGCCCCAGCGGTGGAGGGGGGGGGGGAAGAGGGAGGGGGGGGGGTCGAATTCCAACGGAATTCACTGAACACACAAGCCCCGGGGGGAGGGGGGGGGAATTCCAACGGAACGGAATTCACTGAACGCACAACGCACAAGCTCTGGAGAGGGGGGGGACGCTTCGCTCTGGAGAGGGGGGGGATGGGACGAATTCCAACGCACAAGCTCTGGAGAGGGGGCGGGCGAATTCCAACGGAATTCACTGAACGCACAAGCCCCCCCGCCTCCCACACATACCCACTTCCCTCTCTCCGAGAGGCATCTTCTTCTCTCCCCCCCCGACAGCCCCCCCACACAAAAAATATACCCCACCCTTCCAGGACAGACCCCCCCCTCCAAAAAAGACCCCTCCCCCCTCTTCCGACATATCCCTTTCCGCTCTTCCGCTTTCTCTCCTACAGACCCCCCCTCCCCGCTCTCACAACCCCCCCCCCACGCTCCGACAACCCCCCCCCCTCCAGGACAGACCTCACCTCTCCGAGAATTTTTTCTTTTTCCGACAGAGCCTCTCTCCTCGCCATTCAGGCCCAGGAGGGAGGAGAGGGGGAGGGGGCTGACGCCATTCAGGCCTGGGACAGGGGATGGGGGGGCTGACGCCATTCAGGCCCAGGAGGGAGGAGGGGGGGGGCTTCGCTCTGTCTGTCGGGGCGGGGGGGGGCTGACGCCATTCAGGCCCAGGAGGGAAGAAGGGGGGGGGAGCTGACGCCATTCAGGCCCGAGAAGGAGGAGGGGGGGGGGGCTTCGCTCTGTCGGTTAGAGGTGGGGGGGGCCTGAACGCCATTTTAGGGCCCGGGAGGAGGAGGGGTGGCGGGGTGGCTTGAACACCATTCAGGCCTGGAGGGAGGAGAAGGAGGGTGGGGAACGCCCATGGGAGGAGGAGGACGGGAGGGAGAGGGGGCTGACGCCCTCATGCCTCGGGAGGGAAGAGGGGGGGGGGGGGGGGGGGGGCTTCGCTCTGTCGGGGAAAGGGGGCGGGCTGACGCCATTCAAGCCCGGGAGGGAGGAGGGGGAAGGGGGCTGATGCCATCCAGGCCCGGGAGGGAGGAGGGGGGGGGGAGCTTCGCTCTGTCAAGGGGGGGGGGCTGACGCCATTCAGGCCCGGGAGGAATGAGGGGGGGAGGGCTGACAGGAGCCCTGACACCATGGCTGACGCCATTCAGGCCGGGAGGGAGAAGTCGGGGGGGGGGGGGGGGGGGGGGCAAGGTGGGGCATTCCTCCTCCTCCTCCTCCTCCTCCTCCTCCTCCTCCTCCTCCTCCTCCTCCTCCTCCTCCCCCTCCCCCTCCCCCTCCCCCTCCCTCGTCCCCTCCTCCTCCGCCTCATCCTGGCAGAGGAAGCCTGCGTGCCGGTGTGTTATCGGTGAAGGGGTGGGGATGCAACCGACGCAATATGGAGGCGGGGGAAGCAACAGCATCAGTGACAAACCCTCGTCTGGAGCCCATCAGCGCGCTACCAAGGGCTCCCAACTTCACGCTTCGCGCTGCGCGAAGTGCGAATAACTTCGCGCCCTCGTGCCGCCCTCCCAGGGGAGAGGAGGAGGAGGAGGAGGAATCGGAGCCGAACCGCGAAGCGTGAATAACTTCGCAACCTCGAGGGCGCCCTTGGGTACTGTTGAATATCGGGGGAGCGTAAGACCCGGGTTTGCCAGGACTCGGGTTCGCCATCGTTTTTTGACGACCGCGCCTCGGATTTTGACGAGGAGGAGTTTCGTGGGATGCCTGCAGCGGGAGGCCTCGCCAAAATGCAGGCTCGGCCTCGTCCTTTTTTGGACGACCTCGTCGGGGATTTCCGAGTCCCCTGTACCCAGGTCTTACGTCCCCCTGAACAGTGTTTGGCAATTTCGTGGGCCGTTTTCGTTTCGACCCGCCGGTCGATGTTTCCCCCCGAGCGTTGCCCCTCAGTTGCCCCAGGTCTTACGTCCCCCTGAGAATAGACACCAAAACTTCCCACAGAAACGAACGAGTGATACGCTGGCGACCCGCCGGCGGCGGCGTGCCACGACCACTCGGACCATCGCCGCCGCCGCCAGGACGGCCGCGACCACCACAAACCACTGCCCCGACGACCACTCTCACGACTTCCGTCCCTGCCCCCGCCCCCCCCCCCCTGAGGAGGAGGAGGAGGCGGAGGAGGAGGAGGAGGAGGAGGAGGAGGAGGAGGAGGAGCTGCCCCCTCTGCTCAGCCGCCCTTGCATGCAGTCCGCTTTCCTCTTCCTTCTCCCGGCGGTGCGCACCAAAGGGGGTAGGGAGAGAGGGGGACGGCTTTCCCAGAAGGAGGCCGCTTCTGAGAGGGTCCTCCCAGAGGTATCCTTCGAGGGCTCCCTAGAGGCTCCCTGGAGGGCTTCTAAGGTGGGAGACGGCTACCCAGAGGCTTCCGTAGAAGGCGCTGGTCCTACATCTACAGACAGGGCCCGCGCCTTCTAAGCAGCAAGTGTGCTTCTAGGATCAGGCCGGGCATGTCCCTCTACAGGCGGATCTCGGACGAACACTGACACATACTCCCAACAGTACTACACACATGCAAAAACAATACTCGACAACTCGTCCCTGGATTGTACATAGATACAATGTGTTATATAAAAAACTATGTTTGGATACTCCTCCTGTAGAGGGAAAGGCCCGACTTTAATCCCACGTCTACAGACAGGGCCCGCGCCTTCTCTCGCCATCGCCCGGACCTCCCTTCCCTGTGATTCGTGTCGACTTCGCGCGTGGCCTCTTCGCCAAACGATCCAGGATGCTGCTCCTCGATGGCCCTCGCCGAAGGCAAAATGCACACGTCCGAGCGATGCCAAGTTCTGCGCAGCACGTGTGCGCCCGGGAGCCGCGGCCGACCCTCCGCGCGCGGCCGACCCTCCCTCGGACCCTCCGCCCGCGCTCTCGCCCTCGCCTCCGGGCGGGCCTCCGGCGGAGATCGCCCCTCGGCTCCTGCACGACGGTCGGTCCGTCCCGCCTCCCTGCGGCTTCCTGCCGACCGGCCTCGGTCCTCTCCTCCACGACAGGGAGCGAGAGAGCAGGAGAGAGAGAGAGAGAGAAGGAGAGAGAGAGAGGGAGGAGAGCGGAGGATTGAGAGAGAGAGAGAAAAGGAGAGCGGATATGGAACAGAGGAGCATGCAGGGTTCGCACGGCATCGGCAGCCAGGGTGATCAGCAGGAGGCCGCAGGCGCACTCAGCGGCGAAGCTGCTGCTGTCAGCGCACGAAATATCGGCACGATGCACAGTGCAGAACGACGCGGAACAAATGGGGGAGTCCATGCGATGCGCGGAAATGTGGCTCTGAACACACAATTGCTCAGCGCACCGCCCGTGGCTGACCGTCTTGAATCCGAACAGCTGGATGCAGTTGTGATCATGCACCTCGCTGGAGCGTGCAGATTTGCTGCCAAGGTTACACGCGCACAGTCTGCACAAATGGCAAGCCATCGAGACGAACACTACTCAACACATACAGTCCGCATCTGCACTTCCTGGCGGCACGCGTGACTGGCTTTAGGTTGAGCTGTTCGTCCATGCAACTTGCATGCACATGAATCAGGCCAATTATGAAAATCCAGCACGTCAACAAAACATGACTCGCCATGTGCAATCGCAAGTATTGCCCCTGACGCCTCACAGCCCATCTGACATCTTTGGCCTCCTGGGCATGCAAACAGCCCAATGATAACCCCTTGCGGCTACGAATGCACTACCTTTGGAAGACAGTGAAAGGAAAGAAAAGTTGTCCGCCCGCCCCCGTGACAATGAAGGAATAAGCAAAACCACGCGGCACCTGGAATAGGAGGGCGCCCAAAGCACAGCATAATCTGGGAGCACAGAAAGACCTACTATCGGCGACCGATGGGCAGCCGAGTCGCATTCAATACTTGAGTTAGGCCTTTACAACACCGAAACACCGACGTCGTGATCTCTTAAAAACGTGGCCTAGAAACGTCGCCAGCAAGAGGTTCAGACTCGTTTCCCAGGACGGGTCCTTCATCCCGAGCCGTTTCTTGACAGTCCTGGTGAGGGCCCCGAGAGGCTCAACATCTCAAGATACCTCAGGTGGCGACATCCGATCCCTACGCTCATCAACCATCGATTCTCCTGAATCGATGGGAGTCGGGGGTAGGTTCGGATTCCGCCACGTGCTCGACGAATTCCGAACACTGCCCCCGCTGCCAACCGAAAACCATGTGCAGACAACGTCCAAGGACGAGTTGTGTGCACCGTACCGCGTTGGCGTCTCCCGAGGCGTCGTCGATGCTCGACCCAAACATGGCATGGTACATAGTTTTTCAGCCGTCATAGGCCAGCATAACTATGCACCGTACGACAAGGTCGTGTCGTGCCGACTTTGGCGTTGGTCTTGGACACCGCGGGGATCGTTCAACCTTGAACGATCGGCCGTTTCCCCAACGTCATATCGATCGTTCAAGATCGTCCGATTCTGGGTGGATCTGAACGATCGGCCGTAACCGAAACGACAGATCGTTCAGAACGACGGGAGGTTCGCGCCGTGTCGACTGGCGTCGGGGTCGCCGCTGGTCGACACGACGCGAACCTACCGTAGCACGTTGGGGCGGGTCCCGAAGTGAGTTCAGACATGGTACACAGTGTGTGGGCGCCGTTTCCGTAGGATTGAGGGCCCACGATTAGGGGGACCGGCGCCAGCCACGGGAAAAAACAGCGACCTGGGATCGGCGATGCATCGCCGATAGATTGGCGATGCACCGCCGATCACGAAACGGACCGTTCCTGGGCGGTGTGGGCCATCGGGCCCCTATCGGCGAGACTGGGCGAATGGGAAATGATTCACTCCTCTCCCGAGCTCGGGGACGGCCAAGAGTTGAGCACCGACCGTCCCGGCATTCCTATAGGCCTACCACGAAATGTTCTTAGAACCCACAAATGTTCTAAGAACAAATGGTCTTAGAACATAAACCAGATGTGATAAAACAAGACAGCCCCAGCCAGAATTGTTCTGAGAACATTTCGTGCAGACCACAAGCAATTATTGCAACATTGTTTGGTGGGCCTATAAGCACGCCAGGACGCTTCGCCACTGCTTGAAAGAAAGGGGCGGAGCGTCCAAGAGTGGGTAAGCGCAAATCGTGGCCGGCTGCCTTTGCGCGGCCCAGGGGGGGGGTGCCGGGGATGCATTAAAATATCCTCCTCCTCCTCCTCCTCCTTTTCCTCCTCCTTGTCACTGCCTCCTCCTCCTCCTCCTCCTCCTCCTGCTCCTCCTCCTCCTCCTCCTCCTCCTCCTCCTCCTCCTCTTCCTCCTCCTCCTCCTCGTCCTCCTCCTCCTCCCCCTCCTGGTCGTCGTCGATGTCTTTCAGGGTCGGCGGCACCGGCCGTCAGGCCTTCATACCATGAAGAGACGCCATGATATCCGGGGAGACGTCATGGCCACAAGCATGATCATCACCCCCCTCCCCCGCAGCCCCCTCTGCGTTGGCTGCTCATTCTGGGGACCTTCCTGGGGCCACTCGCTCCACTTGTGCGTCGAAGCTGCGTCGAACGTGCGTCGACTCGAGTCGACCTCGCGTCGAACCTGAGTCGAACCCGAGTCGAACTCGACTCGAACTTGAATCGAACTGGGGTAGAACAGATCCGTCGGGTGCCCCAACTCTGCCCCATCCCGCCTCCTAACCCATCCCCCATCACTCAAACGTCCCCTTGTACAGATACTTTCCGTAATTCAGCTTCACTCAAACGCTCACCATCTCTTGAATTCGCCCGGCTACTATCCGTTCTGTCAGTTCGCAACTTCACCCAGAACCTGGCTGCGGCTGAACTTGGCATCATGGCTCGACTTTCGCCAACCGGTGCGATTGACATTAGTTTGTACATGTGAAGACTGCCTTGAAAAGAGCAACCTCTGCGCAACACCTGAACGAGGTTGACACCAATATTGGTAGCATCGCCAATGTGCAAGCCTCTTCAAATGCCGTTCTCCCACGAACCCCCTTCCTCAGGGACGTCGCCCAAGGGTGCAAGATGGCAAAGGGGCGACGTTCAAATGTGGGAGCTGGCCTTGTACATTTGCGCCAGCTTCTTGCCCAGATCCGCCTTGGAGACGTTGGCCATGCTCGGGTGAATGATATCTAGGATCGACTCGCCCCAGCCAGAGGCAAACAGGCACATCGCGCTTCTCAAACAATCTCCGCTGAACGAGTTTCGCATCCTCGCCACCCAATGGTGGTTGCAAAATGGGTGCTCTAGAGGGGAGGCTGGAAACATCGCCGCATCACAGACGCTCCGCATCACAGAGCGCGTGACTAGAACTCATACATCGCATCGTCGTTGCACACATTCGATAATTACCACCTGTGCCTGCGGAAGACGAGACCGACGAACACGAGAAAGGGGAATCTTGCCGTCGCTCGGACGTCCATTTCCCGTGCATTTGTCGGTTTCGTGCGTGTATGTTTTGCTCGATGGTCCAGGATGGTCCTCGATGGCCCTCGCCGAGAAAAAAATGCACACGTCCGAGCGAGGCCAACAAAATCCTCCTCTTCCTATCATGCCGCTTACTCCGCTTCTTGCCCATCGTTTCCCGGAGGGGACGGAAGGCCGAGCAGGTTCTGCTGAGCCCTCTCTCGCGCATGGATTTGACGCGCATTCAACTGTCGTCTGCAGACTGTTGCCCTGGGTTCTCGGGAGGACGCCCAAAAAAGAGTGGGACACGTGAGAAGGAATCAGGCGCGATCAGTTCGGAAGCCGCTGAGAGCCTGAACACTCTGAGTGCGTGGAGGAGGAGCAGCTCTTGGGGCAGCTCCGAGGGTGGGGGGGGGGGGGGGGGGGGGGCACGCGTCGGCCCCCCCCCCCGCCCTCGCGCGCTCCATGCGCGAGCGTGCGGGCGCGGCGGCCGTCCCCGCGCCGCGCGCGGCCGCGGCGGGGCCTCAGGGCCCGCGCGCGGCGCCGTCAGCGCCGGCGGGAGGAGGAGGAGGAGGAGGAGGAGGAGGAAGGGGAGGAGGAGGAGGATGGGGGAGAGGGAGGAGGAGGAGGGGGAAGAAACGGAGGAGGAAGAGGAGGAGATACAGAAGAGGGAGGAGGAGGACACGAGCCAACGGGACCGGACCAGGCCACGGTAGAGAGCACGCTGCGCGGAGAGGGGCCACTTGAGGCCAGGGCGGAGCTCACGCCCGGCCCAGCTCCGCTCAAAACCGGTCCCCGGTGCCCCCCTTCCTCCTCCTCCTCCTCCCCTTCCTCCTCCTCCTCCTCCTCCTCCTCCTCCTCCAGGAGACTGCAGGATCCGTCCAGACTCAGGTCGGGCCTGTCCCCCTGCAGTAGGGCTCCCAACTTCGCGCCTCGCGCTCCGCGAAGCGCGAATAACTTGGCGCTCTCGCGCCGCCCCCCCAAAGAGAGAAGAGGAGGACGAGGAGGAGGGGGAGAAGGAACGAGAACCGCGAAGCGCGAATAACTTCGCGCCCTCGTGGGAGCCCTTGCTACAGAGGGATAATGGGCGGAAAATTACAAGTAGTCAAAACTAGAACCACGCGCGCGCTTCGCGCGCGCTTAGGTTCTAGCTAGGAGGCGAGCTTGAGTCAACGAAAGTCGCAGGGAAGGGGGCAGGGGGAAGAAGGCCAGAGAGCGCTGAAGGATACAAATACTGGAACCCTCTTGTGATTTTGTGGGGGGCCTCGTCCGGCCGCTCGCTGGGAGTTTGACGTAGCTTCTCGGGAGCCTCTGAACCTGTCGGGGGCCTCCTGGAAGCAGGTTCGAAGCATTTTGGGGGGCCGATTTGGGGCTTCTCGGGGCCTCCTTTGGGCCTCTTGGGGGTCTCCTGGGCCTCTTGAGGGGCCTCCTTGGGGCCTCCTGGCGGCCTCTTGGGGCGGAAGGCTCGAGCTTGCGGTTCGTGGTCCCCCTCTGGGCCCCCTCTTGGGCCCGTCTTGGGGCCCTATTGGGCCATCTTAGGCGCCTCTTGGGCCGTCTTGGGGCCCTCTTGGGCTGTCCTGGGGCCCTCTTGGAAGCTTCTTGGGCCGTCTTGGGGCGGTCTTGGAGGCCTCTTGGGCCGTCTTGGACGCGGTGAAAGCCCAAGATGCGAACATGCGAAAAATATACGTTTTCCCTTGGGAATGGCACGATTTTTGTTTATTGGACATCTTGGGGTGCCTCTCGGAACGTCTTGGGCTGATTTTGGAAGCCTTTTGGCGCCTCTGGGCGGCGTTTTGGCGCCTCCTGGGATATGTTGGGCCGGAAGCTCGGAATTTGAGAGTGGCTTTCTCCTTCTGGGACCCCTCTCGAAGTCGTCTTGGGGCTCTCTTCGGCCGTCTTGGGGCCGTCCTGAGCCACTCGTGCGCAGCCTTGGAGCGCTCCCGGAGGCCTCCTAGGCCGTCTTGGAGGCCTCTTGGGCCGTCTTGGACGCGGTGAAAGCCCAAGATGCGAACATGCGAAAAATATACGTTTTCCCATAGGAATGGCACGATTTTTGTTTCTTGGACCTCTCTTGGGGTGCCTCTCTGAACGTCTTGGGGTGCTTTTGGGAGCCTTTTGGCGCCTCTTGGCGGCATTTTGGCGCCTCCTGGAGCCTCTTGGGCCGGAAGCTCGGAATTCGAGGTTGGCTTTCTCCGTCTGGGACCCCTCTCGAACTCGTCTTGGGGCTCTCTTGGGCCGTCTGGGGGCCGTCCTGGGCCACTCGTGGCAGCCTTGGAGCGCTCCCGGAGGCCTCGTAGACCGTCTTGGGCGCCTCTTGGGCCGTCTTGGACGCGGTGAAAGCCCAAGAGGCGAACATGCGAAAAACTATACGTTTTCCCATAGGAATGACACGATTTTTGCTTCTTGGGCCTCTCTTGGGCTGCCTCTCGGAGCGTCTTGGAGGCTTCTGGGACCTTCTTGGTGTCATGACAGGCGTCTTGGAAGGCATCTGGAGCCATCGGAGCGCGTTTCGAAGCCGCCTGCGAACGATCTTGGACTGCGTCCGGCGGTCCGACGAGCCTCCGGGCCCCCCGGAGCCCACATTTGTGGTCGGGGTCCCCGCCCCGGGCCCCCGGACCCGGTGCGCCGTTATATGTATATATAGTTAAAACTACTACCAAAAAATCGTCCCCGGACTATTTGTTTTGAACTATTTTTGGATATTCCTCCTGTAGCGGGACAGGCCCGACGAAAGTCCAGACCTGTTTTACGGAGCGGATCCAGCCGTAGCGATGAGAAACCTCAGGTATGGCAGGTTTGCGTCGTGTCGACCCCGGCGTTTTTTCCTGACACCACGGGGATCGTTCCATCTTGAACGATCGGCCGTTTCCCAAACGTCCAAGTCGTTCCACATCGAACGATTCTGGGGCGCCCGCGGCGTTCAAAGATGAAAACGCCGCTGGCGGGGTCGCCACCGGTCGACACGACACGAACCCACCGCACAGGAGAAGAAAACTGCATCGTAAACATACGCTCACGGAGCTCCGCCCAGATTTCTTGGAACGGCGCTGGACCCCTTGCCCTGGCGCGCGGAGCGGGCGGCGGGGACTGTGCAAGAAAGAGATGGCACTACGAGCACAAACAAAAATGCCATGAATACAATCGGAACTAGGCCAGAAGAACATCCCTCAAGAACACGAGACCCTCCGTCGGCCAAAACGCACAGAACATCCACGGGTACCCTCCTCAGGGTGCACAAGAACATCCAACCAACACGAAGAACATTAGGGTACCCTCCTCGAAGCGACCTCGATCTTACACCTCCGTCCGACCATATACACATTTGGCGCTCCGCGCGGATCTCGTGGACCGGCGCTGGGCCACCCTTCCCTGGCGCGCGGAGGCGCCGCCAGGGGCGGCGCCGGAGGCGCCGCCGGGGGGGCGGGGGGCGCCGACGCAGATGTCCTGCGTCGGCGCCCCGAAGGCTTACCTCTATGTCTGAAGGGGCCCTCCTCCTCCTCCTCCTCCTCCTCCTCCTCCTCCTCCTCTGGGACACAGAAATCCATAGACACAGATCCCAGGATTCCCCATGTTTTGGATTTTTTTCTGAGTTTTGGTCTTCCCCCCCACTTCCCACACTTCCATACGTTTCCCTGGGGATCGACGATTGCTTTTATAGGTTGTCATAGTTTCTGAGTTTTGGTCTTCCCCCCCACTTTCCACACTTCCAGACGTTCCCATGGGAGGATCGGCGATTGCTCGTGTCTGCGTGTTGCTTTCCCTCCTGCATGTAGTTTTTCAGCTTCGATCCAGGAGGCCCAGGAAGAGGACGAACCGAAACCAGGGGATGCCGCCATTGTCTCGACTACCGTCGGGGCGTTGACCGAAGGAACGATAAATAAGGAACGAGGCCCTTTTTGCCCACGAGTTTAACTTCGATTCCCAGTGGGAAACCTCAGGAAAACCGAAGGCGTTGACCGAAGGAACGATAAATAAGGAACGAGGTCCCTTTTGCCCACAAGTGAAACTTCGATTCCCAGTGGGAAACCCTAGGAAAACCGAAGGCAAACTGCAGAACAATCAAGGAACACCGAGCCCCTCCCCAACGAAACAGGTTCCTTCTGCAGCGCCCCGACCGTAGGGAGCCCACACAGGACGTGCGCGCCCAGCTATGTACATGAGCACGGCCCCTTGAAGCGCGAGACGGGCCGCGCGATACGAACCTTCGCGCAGTGCGAACTCTCGAAACCAGCGTGGACTCATGTGCGTGAGGAGGAGGAGGAGGAGGAGGAGGAGGAGGAGGAGGAGGAGTGTACGTCCTTCTTTCGCTCCTGAGACTGTCTGTCGCCTTCCTCCGTCGCCTCTTCCTTTGGCTTCGGCCTTCGGGTCGCACCTCGAGCCTCGGTCGGCCACGCGGGACGCTCCAGGCGCCCCTGGAACGGGCGGCGCGTCGGCGACGTCGATGCCCACCACATCGCGCTCCACACCGAGCCGCATCGCCGATGCATCTGCGATGCGGCGCCATCCTCTGACCCCGTGCGCTCGGACCCCGTTGGGGGAGGCTTGGACTTCAAGGTTTCGGGCGCCCGACATGGGCACGGACAAAAATGGGTACGCTGCGCAACAACAAATGTTGTCCCAAAGCAACAGCGGCCGCTGTTGGGCAGGCGGCCTTCTGCCTCAAACGGGCACCGGCCGCGGCGGCGCGGACAACGAGTCATGTTCAAAATCAACCGGAACTGCTGCTGGGCATTGTACCCATTCCGTACCCATTTCGTTCGTGCCGATGAGGTGGCCCTGCCCCACTCCCTGGTATCGAGTCAGCGAGGCAGACGTCGCGGTTGGGGTCCCCGCCTCGGACGCCCGCCGCTCGGCGGCCCCGAGCCCTCGAGAGTTCTGGGCCGTGGCCGTCAGAGGAGGAACAGGTACCGACACCGCTGCCCTTCCGCGGCAGGCTCTCGTCGCCACGGCTGCATCTGCCGCGGCATCCTGGTCAGAACGCCGCGCTCCTGGAGAGATCGCAGTGCCCACCGGAGGAGGGCCAGCCGAGAGACCACGGCGGCCCTCCCTGGCGCCCGTCGTCCTCGTGCGGCCTCCTGGGAACCTCTCGCCGCCTCGGCTGGAGCCGCCCCCCCCAAAAAAAACACGGGTTGGGAAGAACGTGTCCAGGGACGAATGCTGAGCCGATTTGCAGGGGAACGAACACTGACGCCAGCATAAAGACGCGGAGGTCCGCGCGGACCTCTCGGAGCCGCGCTGGACCCCCCCCCCAGGCGGCGCCTCTGGCACCGCCCCTGGCGCGCCCCGCGCGCCAGGAAGGGGGGGGGGGGGTCCAGCGCCGATCCGAGAAATCCGCGCGGACCTCCGAGTGTGTGTATGTTTTTTTGTTTCGTTGTTCGTTTTTCCATGTCCCGTTTGTGCCATTTCTCGTCATTGTTATGTGTTGATTAGTTTCAGTAGTTTTTGTTCGTTTCAATAGTTTTTATGTTGATGCCATTCTTCGTTTTTCGTCAGGCGGGAGAGCCGCCATCGCCTCGACCGGCCGTCACCCGATCATCACCCCAGGCAAGATAGCACCCCATAAAACATGTGTTGCGATCCGACAAAAAATGGTCGGACGCAGTGGGAACATGGGCCGGCGGGAGAGTGCCCTTCTGCTGCGTTGCGCAGCCGAAGACCTGTGACCCCTGAGATCCGACGCTGCAACGAGAACGCACTACTGCCTCACCAAATTACGACCGGATCCCTAGACCCTAAATCGCATCTTTCTGCGGCCTTGTACCAGCCGGATCAGTGTGTGATGGTCCGAAACCGAAAGCGGTCGGTGTGAACAATTTGCAACGCCCAGATCTCAGGGACCCTCGTGTGCCTGTGTGCGAATGTGTGAATGTGTGTGTGTGCGTGTGTGCGTGAATGTGTGAATGTGTGAATGTGTGTGTGTGTGAATGTGTGTGTGTGTGTGCGCGGAAAGGGCACAAGCCGGCCCGACGAACTGCTTTCGGCCCAGCAGCGGGTTCTGCTTGAACTTGCGCGTCCGGACGGTGAACTCCGACATGGCTCGCAAGAGCTCGGCCGTGGGGCGGCCCGGCAGCGCACGTGCGTACCTGAGCCAACCTGCCAATTCCGCGCCTCCTCCCGCGCACCGACGCGGTCCGTGCCTGCCCTCGCTACGCCTCCGCCTTGAGGCGTCCAGGTCCACACTTCGGTTCGGCGTGTCCTCCTACAGGCGGATTTTGGACGAAGGATGAAGCAGAATCAAAACCTGCTCAACAGTCGCCAAGAGTATCAGAAAAATCGTCCTCTGACTATTTTTTGACTATTTTTGAATATTCCTGTAGAAGGACGTGCCCGACTTCAGTCCACACGGCTCACAGGAATAGCAGCAGAGAATGCACGGCCCCCCCTGGCGGTGCCTTCGGCGCCACCCCTGGCGCCAGAGGGATGCGCGGCGGGGAAGGGGGTCCAGCGCCGATCCGAAAAATCCGCGCGGAGCTCCGCAAGATTCTCTTTATTGAAGGGGCCCTGGGACACACAAATAACTAGACACGAATACAAGGATTCCCCAGCATACGTCCCAATATTTTCTGGATGTTCGTCTTCCCCCCTAACTTCCCATGTTTCCCGATACTTCCTGGGGAGTCGACGATGACTTGTGTCCGTGTTTTCCCCCTCCTGATTTATGGAGCGTTTGCGTTTTCAACTTCAGGCGCCCAGGTCCACACGAAGCAGCACGCTGACCATGATCCCCAAACCGACCAATAGCGAATCCAAAATGGACTCGAACATCGCTGGATCAAGGACATGTGTTATGATGTTCCAAGCTATTTTAACCTCGATCACCAGCAAGACTTTCGAGCACCAGAAAAATACCGAAACTCGAGGGTTTTCGCGCGTCGGGCCCTGGGAGACACTCGTCCGACGCTGTTTCGACAGTGCTTTGACAATTTGTTCTGGGTGCTGGAAACTATTTCTGGGATGCAGTTCTTAAGTACGACGAAAGCAACATAAGACTTGTGCAATACTTGGAGTTGCTCCCTGTCGCGCGGCGCGCGCCAGGGGCGATGCCGGGGGCGGCGCTGGAGCCGGCGTCAGGGAAGGCCCAGCCCCACTGCGCGAGACCAGCGCGGAGCTCCAGAGGTCAGTGCTTGCACTTTGTACAGTTTGCTCTCCTGTTCCCCATCCCTCTTCTCTCCAGGACGAGCACGATGCCACGATGCGACTTGCTCCATGGTGCGCTCTGGGGTCTCTGGAATTTCTGGCGGCCCTCGTTGCTGGATCCCCTGCGGAGCCTCAAGAAACCTGGGAAACTTTGAGGAACCTCGGAAATCTTGGAGCGCAGAAATTCGCGACCTCCGTGCTCCTCTGACCAATGCTGAGCAAGAACCAGCCAGCCCGGCATTCCTACAGGTCTACCACGACATGTTCTTCAAACCCCCAAATGCTCCAATAACCAAAACAATGTTCTTAGAACATAAACCCCATGCGTTAAAACAAGTCAACCCCAGCCAGAAATGTTCGAAGAATATGTCGTGCAAACCACAACAGGTTCTTAGAACATTCTTTGGTGGGCCTAGAGGCAAGCCGGGAAGCTTCGCCACTACTTGACAATGGTTCTGCTCCTCATCCCTCGATCCTCCTTCCTCCCTCTTTCCCTCTCCCGCTCCCGTCGTGCTTCCGCCGCCCTCCTCTCTCCCCCCCTCCCTCCTCCTCTCCCCCACCCTCCCCGTCCCACTCCGCGTCCCCCCCCCTCCTCCTCCTCCTCCTCCTCCTCCTCCCCTCCTCCTCCTCCTCCTCCTCCCCCCCTCCTCCTCCTCCCCCTCCCCCTCCTCCTCCTCCCCCTCCCCTCCTCCCTCTCCTCCTCCTCCTCCTCCTCCTCCTCCCCCCTCCTCCTCCTCCTCCCTCCTCCTCCTCCTCCTCCTCCTCCTCCTCCTCCTCCCTCCTCTGCTCTGCTCTCTCCGAGCTCCCCCCCCCTGCGGCAGGGCGCCGCGGGCGCCGCGGGGCCTCCTCGTCCTGGCGCGGGGGTTCCGCGCCCGCGCCCGCGGGGCTCTCGCTCCTGGGGCGGCGGCGGGGCGGCGAGAGGCGGCAGCGCCGGCCCGCCGCGCGCTCCGGCGCGTCGAGCGGCTCGGGCGAGGTGCTCCTGGCCTACGGCAGGGGCCCGACCACGAGAAACCTTTCTCGGGGGCGGCCAAAAGGGGGGCGTCCAAGAGGGGGGGGGGGGGGGCAAATCATCGCCGGCGGCATGTGCGCGGCCCAGGGGGGCGGCCAGGGATGCATTGAAATAAGAAGGGGCGCCATGAGATCTGGGGAGATAGCACGGCCCCCGCCATGATATCCAAACCCCCCTAGTCATCACCCCCCTCTTGGCCGCCCCCGACTTTCACAAGAAACCCAACCCTGAGACCCCGGAGCGTCCACTGATTTTCGGTGCGGGAGCGTCGCGCTTTCCACAGCAAGACCCCCGAAGCCCAAGAAACCCAGGGCCCCCTGGAGGCAAGCAGGGTGTGTCTTAGCATGGGTCTCCACTGTACAGTCAACCCGTACAGCAAGGACGCACGATAGGGATGCGGGGGCCTTGGAACGCCATGTCCACCCTCTGGGAGCGGGCCGCGGCCAGCGAGAGCGGCCAAGGATGGGCCGCAGGGGAAGGATGCAAGGGCAACCCTGGAGAGGCGCTCATCCTTCCTGTGCGGGTTGACTGTACAATGCGGGCGTGGCCGCAAGGAACCCTCACAAGAAACCCACCCCCGAGGACCCGCGAGAGGGGTGCGAGTGGGGGAAGCCCAGAGCACCCTGAGCGCAGCAACTTCGTCAACGGCCGCGGGAGGTCACCGCGCAGCTAGAGGCCTCCCAGATGGGGTCCGAGTAGATGGGGTCGGAGGATCGCGCCGCATCGCCGATACATCGGCGATGCATCGGCGATGCACCGGCGATGCATCGTCGACGTGGGCGATGTATCGGCGACGCCAACGCGGAGAAAATCGAGCTCCGCATCGCGCCGCATTGTTGATGCATCGGCGATGCGGCGCGATCCTCCGACCACGTCTACTCCGACCCCATCTAGGATGCCTAGAACAGCGCGAGGAGCCAAGAAGCCCAGGGTACCCTGACGAGCGCGCCCACACTGCAAGGTGCCCACCACTTTCCGCCAAATGTTTGGTGCCCTGGAAGCCGCGGGGGCCTCCTCGGAAATCCTGAGGCACCCTGGGCCATGGGCACATCGAGCAACACCTGAGCGACGATAAACAACGGGTCATACGCGAGATGACAAAGCGGCCTCGCGCGGTGGCTTCCGCTGGCCGCCCGCGCGACACGCCACCTTTGAAGCGAGGGCGCTCGCGCGCGACCTCACGCGGGCAACTTACGCGCCAATGTCGGCGCGGACGACCGCGTCTGTTGAGTCGCTCACCTGGCTGGGGGGGGCTCTCGGGGAGCGGCTGCTCGCGTCCGGGGTCAGACGGGGCGCAGTCGGGAGGCCCTGAGATACGGGCGTCAGAAACTCTTTCCACACCGCGAACGTATTTAGAGCAGGGACGGACCGTCCCGGCATTTCTATAGGCCTACCACGACATGTTCTTAGAACAACCAAACAATGTTCTAAAAACAAAAAAGGCTCAAATAACACAAGACCGTTGCGTTGAAACAGGACGGTCCCAACCAGAAGTGTTCTAAGAACATTTCGCGGAAACCACAAAAAGGTTCTTAGAGCATCGATTGGTAGGCCAGGCGAGCCAGGACGCTTCGCCACTGCTCGAGTATTGAGCAAACAATCATTCGGAAGTTTGCTCCCCGTGTTCGGGCTGCGGGGGCCCTCGCCAGGCCCCGGGGCCGTCCAAAACACCACCCCGGAGTGAAAAGCCGGGCCAGGGTTAGATCGGGAATGTCTCCCTGGATCTTGGAGGAAAAATAAACCAGACCCCCCAAAATTGTCAGTAATAATGAAAAAAATGATCAACAATCGTCCCCAGACTAGTTCTTGACTGTTTTTTGATGCCTCCTCCCGAAGAGGGACATGCCCGACTTGAAGCCAGGGGAACGGGTCGGGACGTCCAGGGGCCGCGTGTGGCACACGAAAACGAGGCATCGGAGCCATGGGCCCCAACCTGCGGGCTGCAGCCCCCGACCCAGGCCGAGGGGGAAGCGGCACCGCCCCTGCTGAGCAGCTGCTGGACGCGCCCGGCCGCCATCGCAATGCTGCGCCACGGCGCAGTGCAGAGATCGGGGGCGCGCAGACATGGATTAGCGATCCATGGACTTGGCACATCCATGGATCGGTGGAGAAGGTGCCCTCCCCAGAATGCGGCCGGCACCGCCTCGCTCGGCGGCGGAGATGCGCGATTTCCCTTTGGAAACGGGACCCGTCACTGATCCACGCCCCCTTGATCCATGTTTGCGATCGCCTGAAGAGAGAAGGAGGCACTGCGCCGTGGCGTGGCGGCGCGGAGGCGGCTGGGCGCGGCCAGCTGCTACCCGCTTTTCCCCTCGGCCTGGGCCGGAGGCTGCGGCCCGCAGGACACGGGTGCTGCCACTTGTTTCGGCGACTCCAAAGGGTGTGGTTTGCAGAGGGTGTGGTTTGCAATCGGCACCCTGGGGGGGCACCATGGGGGGCGGTCGGGTGCCTCGATAGAGCTCTCCACCGCGCCCCGAGGAGGCCCGACGAGGACTGTGTCGTGCCCGCCAGGCCCCCACAACGCCGATCGCAAACCACACCCTGGCGTAACCGCACCCTTTGTAGTCACCGATTGTTCCACGCATGGCGACTTGGCCCTGTCCTGGGCCCGGGGCTCTCAGAGACCGATCCGGCTCCAGAAGCAGAGGCCTCCCAGATGGGGCCGGAGTAGATGGGGTCGGAGGATCGCGCCCTATCGCCGATACATCGGCGATGCATCGGCGATGCACCGGCGATGCACCGGCGATGCATCGTCAACGTCGGCGACGCCTCGGCGACGTCGACGTGGAGCAAAATTGGCCTGCACCGAGCCGCACCGTCGATGCATCGGCGATGCGGCGCGATCCTCCGCCCCCATCAGCTCCGACCCCACACAGGAGGCCCAGAAAAAATGGAGCAGAAAAAATGGGCCTTGGGCTCCCCTGGTGATTTTCGCATCGTCGGATCTGGGTGGCGGGGTGGCGGCTGGAGAAGAGGCGGCTGGAGCAGCGGCGGCGAGACCCGCCTGTGGGGGGGCTCTTCCCTGTCTCCACATCTCCCTCTCCCCGTCCTCCTCCTCCTCCTCCTCTTCCTCCTCCTATCCCCATCCCCCCCCTCCCCCTCCTCCTCCTCCTCCTCTCCTTCTCCTCCTCCTTCTCCTCCTCCTCCTATCCCCCTTCTCCCCCTCCCTCCTCCTCCTCCTCCTCCTCTCCTCCTCCTCCTCTTCCTCCTCCTCCTCCTCGTCCTCCTCGTCCTCCTCTTCCTCTTCATTTTTCCTCAGCAGATGATTGGGTCGATGCGCCTGAGATGTCAACTCTCCCCCTCCTCCTCCTGCTCCTCTTCCTCCTCCCCCTCCTCCTCTGCCTCCTCTCCTCCCCCTCTACTAATCCTCCCTCCCCCTCATCCCACTGCTGCTGCGAAGGACCATGGGTACAACATGTCTCTTTGTCGGACCTTTCACATCGAGTACGCATGTGAAAGGGGAGGGGGGCAGGATGCAATGGGGGGGTAGCCTCATTCGCAGTCTGTGGTGTACTGAACTGGGTCCCAGGAGCTCGCCAGGAACGGGACCAGGGGGGCCAAGAACGACGAAATGTCCAGGTTAGCGTCAGGGAAAGGCTTCGCTCGGGAAAACCCTGTGACTTGTTCACAACGTGGACCCCCAGTAAACCACCCCTCCCCGAGATCGGTTCGTTCGACGGTCCTGGGGCCCAGTGAAGGCTTATAGACCCAACCCAGCCAAACACGTCCGTGACTTGTGCTGCTCCCATCGTACTGAAGGACCACATCCCATAAATAATTTCGAGCACCTGGAAAAGTGTCGAAAGCGTGTCGAAGCAGTGTCGAAACAGTGTCGGACGAGTGTCTCCAAGGGCCCGACACGTGAAAACGATAGAGTTTGCGGGTACTTTCTTGGTGCTCGAAATTCTCCCTGGTGGGCAGAGCTAAAGCGGGCTGGATCATGCTAATCCGCGGCGTTTTTCGCAGCGCCGAGGACCCTGAGATCCGCCGTTTCGAAGAATTTGGAGCATCACGGCGATCAGGACCGGAGCCTCAGAGCCCCATCTCTCTCTGCGGCATTTTCCCGAGCTGGGCCGACGCGTGCCGGCCTGCAGGGCCCCGCGGCCGGCGAGGCCGCCCGGCGAGAAAAACACGCCACGCCCGGATCTCGGTGGAGGTGTGGGAGCAAGGGGAGTTGTCGCCATCGCTCGGACGTCTATTCCCTGTGTTTTTTTTCGGTTTCGTGCGTGGTTTTTTCTGCCAAAGGATCAAGGATGCTCCTCGATTGTCCTCGCCGAAGGAAAAATTCACACGTCCGAGCGATGCCAAGAGTTTGGGTGACCCAGAATCGGCACGAACGACGTGGGTACTCCAGGTCTCTCAGTCAGCGTGGGGGGGTGGATCGCCTGGGGGGGTGGGAGACCGCTGCCCTTCGGGGGGCGTGGGGAGGCTGGGGAGCGAGAGGGGGGGTGCGTTTGGGGCGCGTGGGGGGCGAACAAGGGGCGTCGGACAGGTTGGCACGGGGAGGGGGTGCTTAGTGAAGGATCTGGAGTACAGAAAGAGTGGGTACGATGCCCAACAGCAGCTCCTGCTCACTTTGAACAGGACTCGCTGTCCGCGCCGCCGCGGCCTGTGCCCGTTCGAGGCAGAGCGCCGCCTGCCCAACAACGGCCGCTGCTGGTTTGGGACAACATGTGATGGTGGGCATTGTACCCAGTTTTTCCGTACCCATTTCGGGCGTCCAAACCAAGCAGGATCCAGCTGAGAGGGGGTGGTGCAATAGTTTCGGGTAGTTAGATTGCAAAAGTACTGCGCCAGAGAATTCTACTGCGCTGCACTGCAAGTAATGTCTTGCACGCAAAGATCCAGCGAGACATTTGCGCCCCGGAATGTGTTGCACGCCCCAGGTGTACCCACAGATCTGTTGCACCAAATCTATTGCACCACCCCCTTGTCGCTGGACCCCCTTCTGGGTCAACCCGAAACGAGGAAAGGCGACACCAACATCACCAGGGCGAGGAGATGCGAGGAGCAAGGGCGGGCTCCCTGGCTCCCTCTGGTGGTGTGGTCCCCCCCTCTCGCTCCCCCAGCCTCCAGCTCGGGGAGACATCCTGGACCTCCTCGCTGGAGGTGGCCCCACTGGTGGCGCTGGTGTCGCATCTCCTCCCTCCGAGAGGTGGGGGTCGGGGCGAGCGGGGGGACAACAAAGCAGCGATTCCGCCACTCGAAGACGAAGAGAACATCGGGTGAGGATGCATCGGAGATCTCTGAGATCCGGCGGCTCTGGAGGCTTGATTTGTTTACCATCGCGACGCCGATTGATTCAACCACGTTGCCTGCAGCAGGCGCCGGCCAGTGCGGACAACCCGCCGGCTCTGGAGGATGAATTGAGTCGCCGCGGCCTTCTCAGAGAGTTCTGGAACGCCCAGGCACGGAGTCATCCTCCAGGGTAACCCACAAAAGACGCACGCGCCCTGCTATGTACATGAACGCGGCCCCTCGATCCGCGAGACCGGCCGCGTTATACGAACATTTGCGCAATGCGTGCTCTCGAAACCAGCGTGGATTCATGTACGCGTACGTCCTTCTGTCGCTCCTGGTCCTCGTCCTACCCCTGGCCGACACTCCCCAGTCCTCCCACGGGGTGCGCTCTGGCCAGGCGATTTCGAAGCCAGCCCCCGGCCGTGGCGGCGGGGGCCTCCCAGAAAAGTCCACACGAAGCGAAAAACGACAGAAGACTGGCGGTACGGGTATCCGCCGACTGGAAGAAGTGGGTAGAAACATGAAGTAGGAAGGCCTTGGAATCGGGGATCTTCAGAAGGTCCCCGATTCCAAGGCCTTCCTACTTCACCGATCTGGAATCACCACAACGTCGTGACGAAGAAAACGCCAACACCACTGACGACGCAATGCGAATCTACAAAATCGACGATTGTGTTTCCTTGAACTGCGGATGGTTGGCGCCCCGACACCAATCCTTTAGAGGAGAGCCGAATGTGCCCCCGCGGCGATTCCAAGATCTTCTGACCCTGGTCAATCCAGACCCGGGTCAGTCAGGCCGTACAGGATCCTGCAAGACCCTGCGCACAAGCCAGGGCCAATACGAAGGATCCTGCAAAATCCTGCGGGGTCCTGCACCCAAACCCGGGTCAATGCGACCATGGCTGACCCCCGTTTGCATGGACCCCCGTCTCAAGTTTCCCGATGGAAGTAGATTGTGCGTCCGCCGGCCGCCTGAAGAGGATGGAAGAAGGACAACCACTTGACCCTCCTCAAAGTAGGAAAGCGCCTAAAGTAGACTTGGATTTGGGTATCAAGAAATCGACGTTCAAGGGCCGACATGTACCTGCTTCCCCCTCCGAATGGGGCGAGCTGGGGCTATCAGGTCCCACTCCCTGGCGCGCGGAGCGCGTCATGAGCGGCGACGGAGGCGCCGCCGGGGGGGGGGGCCCAGGCGCCGATCAAAGAAATCCGCGGAGCGCCGAATGTTTATGCTTATGCAGTTTGGTCTTCTTCGAGTATCTGCGTCCTCCCCCGAGCAGGGAGGCGGCCAAGAGGGGGGCGTCCAAAAGGTGGGGGGCGCAAATCACGTGCGCGGTCCAGAGGGAAGGCAGGGAGGTAATATAATAAAAAGAGGCGCCATGAAATCTGGGGAGAAATCATGGTCTCCGCCAAGACATCCCAACCCCTAGTCCTCCACCCCCTCCTGGCCGCTCCCGATGATGGACCTGTCTTCCACCACCACCAGCATAAGTTGGAGGGGGGAAGGAGGTGAAGGATGAGGATGAGGATGAGGATGAGGAGGAGGAGGGGGAGGGGGAGGGGGAGGATGATAATAGGAGGAGGAGGAGGAGGAGGAGGAGGAGGAGGAGGAGGAGGAGGAGGAGGAGGAGGAGCTGGAGGAGTAGGAGTCGGAGTCGGAGTCGGAGGAGGAGGAGGAGGAGGAGGAGGAGGAGGAGGAGGAGGAGGAGGAGGACCCCCTCCCCCTCCAACTTCGGGTGGTGGTGGTGGACAGCAGGACCATCGCCCGATCCTCCCCCGAGCAGGTATGAAGGGGCCCTGGGACACACAAATAAATACACACAAATAAACAGTTTCCCGATAGTTTCCCATATTGTCTGGGTTTCTGTCTTCCCCCCCACTTCCCATATGTTCAAATATTTTCTGGGTTTCTGTCTTCCCCCCCACTTCCCATGTTTTCTTATATTTTCTGGGGAGTCGACGATTAATTGTGCCTGTGTATTTTTTCCTTCCTGTAGGGCGGACGCCGACAGTCCTCGCGCTTGCCTGCGCGCCCATGGCCGACGGCTTGCCGAGAGGCAGCTGCGCCTCGCGGCAGGCGGCGGGCCCCCCCCGGGGGTGCGCGCGCGCGGCGGGGGGGCGCGCCGCCTGGGGGCGTCCAAGGCGAGGGGCGTCCAAGAGAGGCGCGTCCAAGAGAGGGGGTCGGGCCCGCCTCCTCCTCCTCCTCCTCCTCCTCCTCCTCCTTCCCCTCCTCCTGCTCTTCCTCCTCCTCCTCCTCCTCCTGCTCCTGCTCCTGCTCCTGCTGCTGCTGCTGCTGCTGCTGCTGCTGCTGCTGCTGCTGCTGCTGCTCCTCCTCCTCCTCCTCCTCCTCCTCCTCCTCCTCCTCCTCCTCCTCCTCCTCCCCCTCACCCTCCTCACTCACTCATGGCGGTCGATCGTCGTCGTGCAGCCACAGTCCCCCTCCTCTTCCTCCGTAGCCAATTTGGCTCAAGCTTTTCCGTGTGCCCCCCGTTTCTGGACTCTTCCTCGGCGCACCCTGCGACCCCAAATTCACGGGGCAACGCGTCGGGCGTGAAGGATGGAGGAGCGGGGCTTGGGTTCGATGGGAATGGCGACGGGGGGCGGCCCGAGAACGTGGCGGCCTTCGGAGTCCAGATGGCGCGACATCGCCGCGCTCGGCGCTACCGCCACCCGTCGTGTGGCGAGACAGCGGCGCCTAACCGCCTGCGAGGCTGCCATCCAGGCCCTCGCGCAGTCTCGCGGCGAGTTTGGCTCCTGGAAGGACCGCGAGCTGGCGGGGTTTGTGCAACTGGCCCAAGGACCCAAGGACGCGCTGTCCCTGGCTCCCACCGCCACCGCCGGAACGCCGCGTGGCACGCTCAGCGGGTCCCGCCATGCGGAGTCGCCCACGCGTCCGCGGCGGACATCGCGTGGGCCTCTGCAGGCCCCAGGCTCGACACAGGCGGCGCCAAACCCACCTCGCGCGGAACCACGCCGACCGCCGGCGTCAAGCTGGACGCGGGGGCCCAGCGCGTGGACGCCTCGCCCCTCCCCGCTGGCGCACCCCAGGAGGCTGCCGCAGGCCACCCCCCATCCTGGCGAGGACCTTCCTCGTCCTGACAATGTCCCTCGCGCTGGCGACGAAACCGATGTTCCTCCAGATGCTGGTGTACTTCCTCGTGGTGCTGCTGGTGCTGGCCGTCGTCCCCACGACGGCTCGGACGCGCAGAAATGGGCGAGCACGTCTCGTGCTCCCACGCGCCCGACGCCGCGGACGAGGACGGAAGGTGGCGGACAAGTCGCACGACCTGGGAGGCCACGCGCTTCGCGGAGAACACGGACACGCTGAGCAGGCCAACCCTATCGCGCCGTTCGTGCGGGCGCTCCTCCGCTTCAAGAAGAGCATGCTGGCCGTCGGCGACGAAGACGAAATCATCCTGACGGTCGCAATGGCGACCGCGCGAGCGGCTTCCTCCTCGGCGTCCCCAGCCTCGGCGTCGCCACCGCGAACGACGTTCCCGACGGGGAGGCTTAGAGAGCGGCCCTCGGGCGTCTGCGGGAGATCCTCGTCTTCCTCGCAGCGTGCGGCAGGCGCCCGAGTGTTGCTGCAGGGGGCGAGGTTGGAGCTTTTCCTCGGCGAGTCCCTCGCGCAGCAGTTCTGAGGGAGCAGCCGACGAGCAAGACCCGTCACAGGACGGTTTCGTTTTCTGCTCGTCGGACTCAATTTCTTTGACGGTCCGGGAGGGAGCCGTGTGGGGGCTGCCCCGAGCCAGCCCTCTCCTGCGGCCTGAGCACCCGCGCGAGCCGACCTCTCAGCAGGTGCCGTCGGCGTCCGTGGCTCGTGGAGACCCCTGCCACGCGGCCCCTCGTTCGCGTCGGCTCCATGTGTTTGTGGCCAGACCTTTCGTCCTCTGGTTCGGCGGCGCTGGCCCCTGTAGTGCCTTTTGCCGTGCCGCGCTCCCGCGAGCGCGTGTAATGTTACCTCGCCGCGGTGACCTTGAGCATCTGCCGATGCGGTGGCCGCACCCTGGTGCGCTTTCTGATATCTCCTGAGATCTCCTCCTCCTCCTCCTCGCACTCGCGGCCGAGCACAGTGGAGCAGGGCTCGGGCTAAGAGAGGGGCGTCCAAGAGGTGACTACCCACTGCACCAGACCATCCCAACCCGAAGACCCGACGTTCGGGCTGGGGGCGGGGGTGTACGGGCTTTGTATGTGTTTTGTCGATGTTCCCCCCCACTGGAAATGGAGGGCCAATCGGGGCCTTCGGGTTAGGTTGGGGTGGTTTGGTGGGCGGTGTAAGAGGGGGATGCGCAAATGCAGCACGGTCGAGCAGGGCTCGAGCTAAAGAGTGTGTGTTCGCTTTTGTTTTGGTTTCGCTGTCCCTCGTTCTGTCTTCGTTTCTTGCCGCGAAACGAGATCAAAACCAGCACGGCCCACAACATCGTCAAAACACCCTTTAGCTCAAGCGCTGCAGTCGAATCTGAGTGGTAGGCCGAACCTGCCGAATCAAGGGCCCCCCTGGGTGAGGCGCAGCGAGCGCGCGCAGGCGGGAGCGCACAAGGAGGGGGGCGTCCACGAGACGGGGCAGTATGGTTTGAGCAGGGACCGACCGTCCCGGCATTCCTATAGTCCTACCACGACATGTTCTTAGAACCCAAAAATGTTCAAATAACATTCTAATAACAGAAACGATGCCCTTAGAACAAAACCCCGATGTGATCAAGCAATACAGTCCCAAACAGAAATGTTCTAAGAACTTTTCGTGGGAACCACATGAGGTTCTTAGAACAGTGTTTGGTAGCACTATAGGCACGCCAGGACGCGTCGCCACTGTTTGAATGGCACAGCCAGCCCGCATCCAAAAGACGAACACGATAAGGACGCAAGGGCTTCGGAAGGTCCTGCCGACACTCTGCGGGCGGAGCGCGGTCAGCGAGAGCGGCCGAGGGTGGGCCGAGGGGGCAGGATGCCAAGGGTGACCTCGGGGAGAGAAGCTCACCCTTACATCGTGGGATGAACTGTAGCCTCGTGCGGTGTCAGCGCGCAATTTGTTGGTGACGCCGCGTCGATCGTTCAACCGTGAATCGATCGCGGCTGCGATCGTTCAGACTTGGATTCACTCGGGTCCAACGGCGCTGCCGTGTCCAACGGTGTTTCTGCGTCGCAGAATTCAAGCTTCAACGCCTTCGCCGTCGTCGTCGGCACGCCAACGCCGCGTGAACCTACCGAAATAACCCGAGGCATGTGCCCGGACGAAGGGGGGGCGAAAGTACGTACTGAAATAAGAAAGCCATGAAACACAGGGGAATGTCATGCGCCGGCAACGATGGCCCAACCCTCGGTCATCACCTCCATCTTGGCCGCCCCCAACGCAGGTCAACTTCACACAGGTGCGCGCCCTCCGCGGTGTGGAACCGTATTCGCGCCCTCGTGCCGCGAGATGGCGAAAACAGTGCTGGTGACCCCAAACATCCGGCGTGTCGAACAGTCGGGACTTTTTTTTGTGTATATATATATATATTATTATCTTCATCATCATCATCATCATCATCATCATTATCATCAACATCATCATCATCATCATCATCATCATCATCATCATCATCATCATCATCATCATCATCATCATCATCATCATCATCATCATTATTATTATTATTATTATTAGTATTATTATTATTACTATTAATATTATTATCATTATTATTATTATTCTGAAACAACAAATCGTGCGTCTCGGGGCCCTCATCGGGCCTCGGGGCCGTCAAAGAACACAGAGGGATGAACAAATTGCCCCGGGAAGGTCGCCGAGAGGTCGGGGGTCAGTGTGACAGAACAAATCGAGACGCCAGCTGTCTTGGACGACGCTGGCGGTGGCAGTCATCACGCTGGCGATGATGAGTGACGATGGTGGCGGTGAGGATGGTGAGGAAGTGCCTCAGGGCAGAAGGAAGTCGAACGAAGGCTGCGGCATCGACAAATGGTTGCGGCGGCGGGGGTGCAACCGACGACGATGATGATCAACCCGCGACGCTCGGGCCCACAACAACATTGACTGGGGTTCCGTGGATCCGGCGCGACGGTGCCAAATCCACGGATCGGGGCAGGTCCCCCCAGAAACAGGTGGCCAATGCCGCTACATCTGGCGACGGAGCGCGTCGATGTAGCACGGCAGCGGGACCTGTCGCTAACGACGCGCGCATTACTCCATGTCATCGCACAGCCGACCCCGTTTACTCCCGTCACTCACATGTGAGCCCTACCTCTTCAAGTCGTCTTGCAGAAACGCCGACGCCGGACGGGGATCCGAACTTGGTCCAAGTTCTGAATCCTCCAAGTTACTTGGAGGATTTCTGCAGCCAGGTGAACTCCAACGGGGCGTCCGACACCCCAGCGACAGTAGGACCAGCGGGGGTAGGTTTCGCAAGCGTGCGCCTCAGATGGGCAAGTCGCAGCCTGACGTACAAGGTGAGGCATCGACATCTACACAACTCCCATTTCAATCGCGACATACAAAAGGAAAACCAAACGCATGACAAACATGCGCAAGGCACATCATTGACATGATACAAGGCATGACGCATGCTGACTGTACATCAACACGATGAGATCCTCCATACACAACGCATCCAACTGGAATGCGCACGCCCGTTTCACAGTCAGGGCTACCGAGTGGCGGGGGGATGCGGCGGTAACGAGCCGATCGCTGACCATATACTTCCGAACAGGCAGAGCTAGCCCCGAAGAGCTCCCAAATCAGCCGACCATGTGCACGCAGTCAGCGACCAGGATAGCCGCACACGAGCACACAAAGCCACCTGGACACTGAAGCACCACGCTGTTGCGCGAACGCGTGCGCGCGCAAAAATTCAAGCTCCACGCGGCCAAGCCGACCACCCTGTTGCAACCGGACGCGCGCGGGCGGTTGTCGTTGTCGTTCGTTTGTCGTCCTCGCGCGCTCCTCTCTCCTCTGTCCCTCTTCTTTCTCTTTTCCATGTATTTATCTTCCTTCTGTCGCTCCGTCTCTCGTTCTCTACCATCGCTGCGGAAAGACAAGAGGAAGGACCGCACGTCCAGACGGGCCCGTTGAGAAGCGGCGCGGCCGACCTGCGTCGTTCCTCGTGCATCGCGTTTCGGCCCCCGCGCGGCCCTCGACGCGGGCCTGTGCGAACGCCAGCCCTGGGGAAACCCAGAGATGCAGATACAGCTACTCCGAATTTCATAATGAAAAAGGAGGTGGTATGACTTTTGTTGGGGGTCTGACTTGGACTGCGTTGGAGGGTTCCGCGGGGTCTGGGCAAAAGGCCACCCTTTCATGGACGGGTCCAAAGCTTCTCGTCTGGGAAAGTCGCGACCCCCTCCCTTCGATTACGTAATTTAGAAAACTCCCTGGTCCTGTCTCGGGAAGCGTTCTGACCAGAACTCCAAGGCGAACCCCAGCGGTGGTGACGAAATTTGTCAAGGAAACCTCTTCAAGGAGAAAATGAACCAAAGAGTAGAATAGCAAAGGGTAGGGTAGAGAATCGGCTCACGCAGCAACTGGCTTCCCTGGCGCCGCCTGGCGCCGTGAGGCGCCCATGTATCGAGGGATGGGGCCCAGCGGCGGGGCGGAAACCAGCTGCATGCAGCAGATGTCGTACCCCCCTCTGTCCCTAGCCTACCCTTTCGCGCGGCCCGATTCTCGGAGCCCCAAATTGCCCAGGGACCGACCGCCCCGGCATTCCGATAGGCAGACCACGAAATGACCTTAGAACCCAAATCATGATCTTCGAACATAAACACGATGTACTAAAACAGTCCCAGCCAGAAATGTTCTAAGAACAATTCGTAGTGACCACCAAAGGTTTTTAGAACATGTTCTGGTGGGCCCATCGGTGTTCAATCTCGTTTGAATTTGTGGCCCAGCAGATGACAAGCGAGACTGGAAGCCGGAGGTCCCTGGACCCCTCCCAGGGTCCATCTGGGCCACATTTTGACCCCGAATTCGCTGCTCACTGCCTGGGGACCCGAAAACGGCCCCCTTGAGGACGGACGCCGATGTCCGCGCCCGCGTGCCACGACACGCGGCCGCGCGCCTTGAAGGCGACGGCGGGGCCGTCTCAGACCCCCCCCAGGCGGCTCCATCCTCTTCATCTCCTCCTGACACCACGTCTTCTTCTTTTTGCCCGCGCACTTTCGGGGAGGAGGAGGAAAGCAGAGGGGAGTGACGGCGACGCACGCTCGAAGAGCACTCCGAAGTGAAGCTCCTCCTCCTCCTCCTCCTCCTCCTAATCCTCCAAATCCTCCTCCTCATCCTACTAATCCTCCTAATCCTCCTCCTAATCCTCCTCCTCCTCCTCCTCATCCTCCTCCTCCTCATCCTCCTCCTCCGAATTCTCATAATCCTCCTCCTCCTCCTCTTTCTCTTCCTCCTCCTCCTCATAATCCTCCGAATCCTCATAATCCTCCTCCTCCTCCTCCTCCTCCTCCTCCTCCTCCTCCTCCTCCTCCTCCTCCTCCTCCTCCTCCTCCTCCTTCACCACATCCTGCACGCAGGCGAGCAGGACGCCCGCGCGCGCGGGGGCGCCCGCCGCCTCGGCTGGGGGCATGAGCAGCCCCTGGCTGGCGCGCAGGGCCGCGCGGAGGCAGGGGCGCTCTCCTGGGGGCTGGCGGTGCACGCAGGGCGCTGCCGGGAGGATTGCCAGAAAAAAGACGAAACACTCGTGTGCTCAATCACTCATGGTTGACTGTACACGCAGGGCACTGCCGGAAAGATTGCCAGATAAGGAACGAAGCTTATGATGCTCCAACCTACTTTAGCCTGGATCAACAGAGAGAATTTCGAGCGCCCAAGGTGCCAGAAGGACTGCCAGATAAGAAGCGAAGCGCTTGCGTGCTCATCAAGCATTCATGGTTAACGGAAGGTCCGAACTCCTTCTTGGATGCCCCATCCCTACTATCATGGTTGACTGTACACGCAAGGGCGCCCTCCTGGGGGCCGGCGGTGCACGCAGGGCACTGCCTGAAGGACTGCCAGGAAAGGAACGACGCTTATGATGCTCCAACTTAGTTTAGCCTTGATCACCAGAAAGAATTCCGAGCGCCCAAAAGGGTACCGAAACTCAAGGGTTTTCACCTGTGTGGCCCTGGGAGACACTCGCCCGGCACTGTTTCGACACTGTTTCGACACTCTTTTGACACTTCTCTGGGTGGTCGAAATTATTTCTGGGATGCGGTCCTTAAGTAGGATGGGAACAAAATAAAAAAGAACACTTGTGCTCAACATCAAGCATTCACGGTTAACGGAAGGTCCGAACTCCTTCTTGGATACCCCATCCGTACTATCATGGTCGACTGTACACGCAGGGCACTGCCAGGAGGACTGCCAAACAAGGAACGAGGCACCTTTGTGCTCAAAATCAGGCATTCGGAGTTGTCGTAATTGTCCGAGTGGTGATCCGTCCAAATCTTTCTGAGGACTCCTGGGGAAACCTGTGGACCACTCTGAGTGGCAATCCTTCTGAATTTGACTGATGACTCCTTTGTCCTGACGAACATGGTTAACTGAAGGTCCGAACTCCTTCTTGGATGCGCGGTAAGGATGCAAGGGCCTTGGAACGCCATCTGGACGTTTTCAATGCGGAGCACAGCAGAATGCCGAAGGATGTCGAATATCGAAGGGGCGAGGATGCAAGGGTAGCCTTGGAACGTTGCCCCATCCTTACTATCATGGTTGACTGTACAGGCATGGCGCTGCCAGAAGGAGTGCAAAATAAGAAACGAAGCACTTTTGTGTTCAAAATCAAAGATTAATGTGTAGGGAACATCCAGTCTTCCTTTTGGATGCGTTCCCTCATCGTTTTGCCTCTCGTGCTGAAGCTGGCCCATACCTCTGCCGAAGCCTGGATCAAGATCGCTCGTGCGACGTGCAACGACTCGAGTTCCGTTCGTTTTGTCGGCTCGAGTGCTTGGACGGCTCGCAAGTGGTAACCGCACCACTGTCCGTGGGTATTGGCTAGCTGAGCCCTTCCAGAAGAACCTCTTCCCTCTGCGCGTGGGCAAGTATCATCAACGACCTCTTCTCACTCTCGAGGCGGAAGCGCACAGTCCTCTTACACCCTCACTGGGTATCTGGTCGGCAAGGCCGCAAGTGCGTAGTGGCCCAGATGTTCTCGGACAACTCGAAGATAGCCCATGTGCTTGGCCCAAGGCTCGAATTTCGTAGTGGCCAAGGGTCCTCCCAAAGAGGTCCTCGAGAGGCCCCAATCCAAACATCTCAAGCTGTCACGCACGTGAAATGTGTGTGTGTGTTTCTAGTCATTTCGCCTCTGGTGGGCCTCTGAAGCTTCAAGACCAAGGCAGTACCAATATGACCCAAGAGGGTCCCAAGAACGGCTTAAAAAGGCCACACGAGGTTCCATGCGGCCCTCACACCCAATGCAAGACTATCCCAAAAACATTTCTAATATGCGTTTCATTGGGCCCTAGGGTTTTCATGATTTGCCCCTCTCAGTAACTGATACGCTGTATCCAATACAACGGCCACAGGAGTGCCTGGGCCCCGAGAGCACCTAGAAGAGACTGCAGGGAGCCACCACAGGTCCATGACAGCTCACCAGAGGGCCGTAACATGGCCCTATGCGGCCTCCCAAGGGCTTCAAAGAGGCCTACCAACGGGACCCCCCAAATTGGCCAGTGTTGAAGACTTGCCCGGATTGATCCCAGCTTCAGTTTGACTGGTGTCCTATTCCTTGTTTCACTGAAGCTCCTCTGCGACCCCCTTCTCACAAGAAATAACTCAGGAGTCGTTTCTGGATTGGCCAGTGGGGGTGCTCGACACGTCAAGACATTGCAGGCCATGTGTGCCCACACTGGGATTCGAATCGTCCCTTTAAGAGGCAGCGTGTATGGCCAATGATCAAGGATGGCCTCTCAAATTGTTACACGTTGGTGGAACATAACCATCGCAGGACAGTGTCCTAGACCTTACATGCCTGGTCTGACCCCTTGCCCACAAGAGCCTCGGCAGAGTTCGAACAGCTTTTGTCCTCTTCACCGTCCCACGTCAATGTGCTCCATTCATGTCTTGTCACCGCTTCAAACCGATGATTCTGCGAAAGAGGAGGTCCTAAGAAAAACGGATCCTGCATCACAGGGCTCTATGCGCCACAGATTCGTACCCCGTCTGTCGGAGAGAAACAGGAAACCATCGCGACAACGGCAGCTCGTCCGCTGGGCCCAACTCCGCTCAAAATCCATCCTTCGACCCCTCCGGGGGTCCATCCTCACATGTTTCCCGAGACGGGTCCAGCCATGGCGACGATGAGCTTCCAGCAGGCCCGGGGAGGACGAGCAACGACAGGGAAGGCCGCCGTTGTCTCAACTGGCCCTCCTCCGATTGTTTTGGTTTTGTTGGCTGTCGTTGTTTTTTGCCCACCGCAGCGCAAACGATGCCGACAACAAAAATGTGACTGCGGAGACGGCACGCTGTCCTACCGCGGGACCTTTTGTTGGATGGGGGAAGCCCAGCCTGGAGAGGTCGGTCAAAATGCCAACTCGTTTTTCACTGCTTACCGTGCTGGTTCACATCTCGGCGGCACGCCCAGGGGGGAAGTGAGAAGGAGCAGGCCTTCTCAGAAGGCGGCGTGGTTTATTAGAAGTCCTCTGGCTTTCTGAACAGTTCCTTGACTTCGGAGAAAGCTTAACTAGACAACTTCTCAGTCGGCCAGAGGCCTTCCGAGCGCTCTGAGAAGGCCCGCCTCCTCACCCTTGCCCCCCTGGGCTCGCCGTCAAGTCATCGCCCCCTCCTCACAGGTGAAACGAAGACGCTGGCGCGGGACAGGCGGGAGCAGGGACGGCGGCGGAGGAACCTACACAGCAAGAACCTGGCCGTCTGGAAGCTCTGGCTCGCCGAGTGCAGCTCGGGGGGCGGGCGACTCCCCGAAGTGTGTGTGCAATCCTGCGTTCGTGGCGACTTCCTCCTATTGCCCGCCAACGCGAAAAAGATCCTGACCCCCCTCGGGAGACCCGCGGGCACCTCGCGGCTGCTTGCGCCCCTGTCGCTGCACCTCTCCCTCCTCAATGGCACGCCACCGTGGCCAAATACGCGCACCCGCTGCTCCAGAGGCTCCACGCCGAGGCCTGGACCGTCGCTCTCCCGGCCCTCGACGGCGATCTCCCGACTACACTCAAGAGTGACCCTGGGTAAGATTGACCTTTGGTGCGCGGCTTTTCGGGGGCCGCGGGGGCACCAGACACGAGCGCGCAAGACGCTACTATCGCATCGCGTTCGGCGATCGGGGGGGTCCAATGGGCCCCCACCAAAAGTCACTCCGGCGAAGGGTCACTCTTACGTGTAGTCGAATCTCCCGGCCCTTCCCAGTTCACCGGCCCCCCCAGGGAAGATCCAGCGTCGCGCGGGCTGGCCACCACGATGGAGCCGCGCATGCTGCTGCTGCTCTCCAGCCTCCAGGGCCTGCTGCCTGCAAAGGGCGGCGGGAGCTGGTGGCGCACCCTCACCAAGCAAGCACACGGGAGAGGGTGGAATCCCGAAGGCTCCGAGGTCGCACTGGCGTGTGCGGCCAGAGCTATCGAGTCGGGGCCCCAGTGGCTGCGGAAGGGGTCCGAGGCTCCCCATGCACCTTCCGAAGGCCTCTCGTCGGGCTCTCCTCGCAGATCCAGGCGCAGCTGCCTCCAAGAGGGGTCCTGGCTCCCCCTTTCAAGTTTCTGACAACTAGACGTTCACAGCGTTCCAACATCATCCCAGCACATGCACGCCTCTGCCTCGAACATCAGCAGACCAGGAGGCAAGGCACTCCAGCGCCAGCCATCTTCCTGGCTCTGATCCTCTCACCATCTGGCAGGTCGTGGCCCAACGAGGGACAGGGAATGCCGAGTGTGCGATGCGGGAGGACGAGCAGGTGCGATGCACGCGAAGGGGGAAGGAGAGGAATGCGGTGGAGGGTGGGGGAGGTAATTCAAGGAAGGCAGGCACGACATGAGGGGAGGGCCAGGAAGAAAAGAGTGGAGAGAACAAAAACAAGGGACAAGACGGGGCGCGAGAATGGAGGCGGGGGGAGGCGGAAAACGGCCGAGCGGCGATGGCGAACAATGGGGCGGGACAGCAGAGAGCGACGACGGCGAAGGACGGGGCGGGACGGCAGAGGGGAGGAGGGGGAGAGGGGAAGGCAGGGAACGCGGGAAGGTGGAGAGCAAGAATGGAGGAAGAAAGCACAGCACTCACACAAACCGTCGGGGGTCCGCGCGGATCTCTTGGATCGGCGCTCAAACCCCCCCAGGACCTCTTGAGGTAAACACGCACGTTCCACTACCCGTCACATCACTCGAGGAAACCCTCCCCCAGGATGCACACGAACACCCAACGGACGCGAAGAACATTAGGGTACCCTCCCCGAGCCGAGCTCGATCTTATATATATAATTCGGTCCGACCGCAGCTTCCTGTCGGTCCCTGCATGGGCCCCGAAGGGGGCCCGGGATCCTGGCAGCCCCGAAGTGCCCCAGGTCCGGCTGCCTCCGGCACCCGCCTGGTTCGTGGCGCAAGGGAGGGAGGTGGGGCGACGGGGCAGGTATAGAAGCAGAGAGACCGACACACACACAAACACACACACACACACATTCACAAATCAGCGTTCGAAGGTCCGCGCGGATTTCTTGGATCGATATCTTGCCCCCAAATCGCCTCCAGCTCACGTGTACCTCCTCCTCCCCCGCCCCTTCCTCCTCCTGCTCCGCCTCCTCCTCATCATCGTCTTAGCGCACAGGATTGGCGGCACGGGCCGTCAGCTCTGAAAGCTGTTGTTTATGCAGTTTATCCTTGCTGGATGATGGCAAAAACGAGGAAGCGGGGGCGACGGGGCTATTGCACGCCCAGAACAGATACGAAACATTGGGTGTGATGGCCAAGTGCAAATGTTGCGGAAATCCCATAATGGCTGCTGTTGGGCAGGAAGCCTGGGGGCTCAGGTGGACAAATCCGTGGCAGCACCGACAGCGAGTCCTGATCAACACAAACAGAAATGGCGTTCGGCCTGCGTCCCATTCTATCCGCACCCATGCCAATCCAGAGGCCTCCCAAATGAGGTCCGAGTAGATGACGTCGGAAGACAGCGACGCATCGTCGATGCATCGCCGATACATCGGCGATGGCGATGTATCGGCGCCGTCGGCGTGGGGAAAATGTGGCTCCACATCGAGCCACATAGCCAACGCATCGACAGTGCGGCACGCGCCTTCGACACGTCTACGTACAGACGGGCTGATTGGAGAGAACACGCGCGAGGATACAAGACCCTTCCGAGGGCCAACTTGCCACAGGAACGTAGGAAGGCACGGGTCGTGAAAGACAGGGCACACGGGTACCGTTGACTTGGCATGGCCGACCTGCTAATCAGCCTCGACTGCACTCGGACTCCCTCTGATAGGCCTGGAAGCGGGGGCGGACGGCGGGGGGAGGGGGTGCCGGCACCAGCCGCGGGAAGGAGATAGAGAGCAGAAAATCCACCCCCATCATAATAAGCACCCCGACAAGCGAAGCCGTTTAGTAAACGCCTTCAAGGAAGGAATCGAACAGGGCAGGGCTGTTTAGTAAACGCCCAAGGCTGTTTAGTAAACGCGAATTGTCGGGGTCGGGGTGGTTTTTCCACCCTTGAGGAGAGGGAAAGGGGACCAGACTTACGTCCAGCTTAGCAGCATGGGGGGAACGGGTCCTGCGGGAAACAAGTCCTGGATCCCGGGGCCTGCCCGCTGGACAAGATACTCATCCTGAACCGTTTTCGGACAGTTCCGGGAAGCCCTCGAGCAGAGCCGCGATACGCCAGCCGCCCCCGACGAGATATCCCAAGAAGCTGAAACCCCAAGATCCCCCAGAAATCGCGCGCGTTCCGCAAACTCCGCTCTTCACTCTTGCTGCCGCCCCAAGGGGGTCGGCGAAACCCTCGGAGGGCCCCGAGAGCCCGACAACAGGGAGAAACCTCGGGACTCGTTTCCCCGAGGAACCGTTTCCCCCCAAGGTTAGCTCGGGCCTGTCCCCACAGGCGGATTTGGGACGTAAAATCAAAAAAACTCCAAAAATGCTCTAAAATAGTGAAACAATCACCCTTTTTCTGAATATTCCTCCTGTAGAAGGACATGCCCGACGCAACCCCATGGCACCCGACGGCATCTCGCAGGGAGCGGCGCCCGGAAAGTCCAGGTGTCGTCGCGCGCGAGCCGTGTCCTGGACGGTGCCCCCCCGGAGCCCCAGCAAGGCCTGTGTTGCTGCCAGTGGGGATCGCATGGCCCACTGGGGATAGGGTTGGGTCGGGCCTGTCCACCTACAGACGGATTTTGGACGAAAAGAAACAAATACCAAAAATGCTCAATATATATATATATATATATATATATATATATATATATATATATATATGAAAATTGTCAAAAAAATCGTCCCCTGACTATTTTTTGACTGTTTTTGAAACATTGCTCCTGTGGCCCGACTTAAGGATAGGGATCGGAGAAACGACACTGACCATTGCCACGGGCGCAAACAGCGTGGACCCCGAGAGGTCATCCCCATAGGACCGGCGCTCCATCCCGAGCCGCTTCAGACGGTCCCTGGGGCCCCAGCAAGGGTCATGTTGCTCCCATTGGGGATCGCATGGCCCAGTGGGGATAAGGGATCGGATAAACAAGGGCTCCCAACTTCGCGCTGCGCGCTGCGCGAAATTAGAATAACTTCGCGCTCTCGCGCCGCCTACTAGGGGAGACGAGGAGGATGAGGAGGAATCGGAGCCGAACCGCGAAGCGCGAATAACTGCGCGCCCTCGAGGGCGCCTGTGATAAACGATACTGGCCATTGCCACCCGCGCGAAGGGGTGAAACAGGCAGGGTCCTGGGACCCCGAAGATGATTCGGCGACCCTAGGTTTAGGTCCGCCGTCCCCCTACAGGCGGATTTTGGACGAAACAAACAAAAAGACTCAAAATATTCCGCCGACCCTGTCGGCGTGTGTGAGGGGCTTCTCCGTTCGAATCGTCGTCTCCGTCGTCTCCTCGTCGTCTCCGTCGTCGTCAAAGTCGTCTCCTCGCCGTCTACGTCGTCGTCACAGTCGGTGGCCAGAGACTTTCCGTCGCGATCTTGAAACAGTGAGGGGGGTGAAGGAAGCAGGGTCCTGGGTCATGTTGCCCCCATCGTACTTGAGGACCGCATCCCAGAAACATAATTTCGAGCATCCCAGCAGGGATCGAAACCATGTCGGACGGATATCGCCTCTCAGGGCCCGACGCGCGAAATCCCTCCCGTTTCGGTGTTTCTTGGTGCTCAGAACTCTTTCTGGTGGCCAAGGCTACAGCAAGGTTGGAACATCATCAAGCAAGGGGAGGTGGAGTCGGATATTCCTCCTGTAGAGGGGCAAGCCCGACTTGAGGCCACGGACGACGGCGAGGCGCGCGGCAGCCGCGGAGCCTGTGCGGCGCCCTGGCTGGCCCGCCTCGCCGTCGCAGCCTCTGCGGCGCGCGGGGGGGGCGGCGGCCCGCTCCACCGCACGCTCGGGGGCGGCCTATAGAGGGGGGGGCCCAGGGGGGGGGGGCGCGATTCGTGGCCGGCGGCATGTGCGCAGCCCAGGGGGGGGGGCGCCCAGGGATCCACGTGCTGAACTACGCAGCGCCCTGAGCTCTGGGGAGGCATCATGGCCCCCGCCACGATGTCCGCCCCCCCCCAATCATCACCCCCCTCTTTGCCGCCCCCGACACCCAGAGATCCGACGTCGTGATCTTTTCAACACGGGGTCCCCAGAAGTCCGGACCCAATGCCCAGGACCGGTTTTTCGTCCCGAGTCGTTTTTGACGGCCCCGAGGCCCGGCGAGGGCCCGCGGGGGCCGAGATCTGCAAAAAACCTCAGTCTTGATTTTTGTTGCAGTGCGTTGGCCTTGGGAGTCCCGAAACGGTGCGGTCTTGGGACCTCGGAGGCCCCTGTCTCCCGAGACGTCCTCGGAGAACGACCGGAGTCCCAAAACCGTGCGGAGACTCCGGATCTCCGCCGACTCACCGCACGGTGTGGTCACCGCAGCGTTTGGGGGCCCCCGATGGCTCTCTGGGCACGGACACAGCCGGGACGGGGCCAGCGCAGCAGCGGGCCAGGCGCCCCAGGGGCCCCCGAGCGGATCGGAGGCCCGGGGCGCACCTGTGCTCTCGGGGCTCTCCGACGGCGCGGGGGGGGCGGGTCCGCCCGCGCAAGAGGGGGGCCATCCGGCGACGGGGCTGGCGGAGCCCCTCCCTGGACGCCGCGCCAGGATGCGCCACGTCGATGCGGCGGGTTCGTGTCGTGACGACCCTTGCGCTGGCTTCCTCCTCCTCCTCCTCCCCCTCCTCCACCTCCTCCTCCTCCTCCTTCTCCTCCTCCTCCACCTCCTCCTCCTCCTCCTCCTCGCCCCAGCGGGTGACTTAGGAAGCCCACTCGGGGGTCCCAGATGCGCCACGTCGATGCGGCGGGTTCGTTTCGTGACGACCCTGGCGTTGGCTCCTAACATCAGGTAGGGCGTGTCCCCCTACAGGCGGGTTTGGGAGAAAAAGAAAAGCAAAACATACCCCGAACATATGCAAACATACTTCAAACATCGTCCCCAGAAAATTGTTTTTGTATTTTTGAATATTCCCCCTGTAGAGAGACAGGCCCGACTTAAATTTTAACACTGCGTCGATCGCTCTACCTTGAACGATCTGCGGTTTTCTGACTGCCTTCTGACTGCCCGCTCGTTCCGTGTGGGCCGATTCTGGGCCACTGGCGGCGTTCAGCCTTGAACGCCCGCGGCGGGGTCGCCGCCGGTCGACACGACGCGAACCTACCGTGGACGCCCCCCGACGAACGTTGCATGTACCTTCGTCGCTGGCTCTCGGCATTGATTTCTAACACCGCCACCCTCCCCTGAGGCCCAGGAACAATCCATTGCAGGTTGTCCGTGTATGTTTGTTTGGGTTTTCCCAACCATCCTGTGGTGTTGGGTCCTCGCGTTGAAGAGTCGGTCCCCAGTTCCTCTCCTCCTCTCCTCTCCTTTTCCCCCTCCTCCCTCCTCCCTCCTCCCATCATCATCACCAATTTCGGCACACCCCTCACACGTTTCGTGGCCCATAGGGAGCTCCACCGAAGGCTCCAGCGGCGGTGTTCGCATGCGTCCCTGCCACCCATTTCGGCATACCGCTCACACGCTCCGTGGCCCCATAGAGACCTCCACAGTGGCGGTGTTCGCATGCGTCCCCGCCGTTGATTTTGGCACACCACTCACGCGCTTCCAGGCCCCATAGGGAGCTCCACCGAAGGCCCCAATGGGGGTATTCGCATGCGTCCCCGCCACCCATGTCGGCACACCCCTCACACGCCTCGTGGCCACACAGGGAGCTCCACCGAAGGCCCCAGTGGCGGTGTTCGCATGCGTCCCCGCCACCCATACGGCACACCTCGCACACGCTTCGTGACCGCATAGAGAGTTCCACCGAAGGCCCCACTGGCGGTGTTCGCATGTGTCCCCGCCACCGACCCTGACACACCCCTCACACACTTCGTGGCCCCATGAGGATCTCCACCCGAAGCTCCAGGGTGGTGGTCGCATGTGCCCCAGACACCAATTTCGGCACACCCCTCACACGTTTCGACGCCCACTAAGGGAACTCCACCGGAGGCCCCAGTAGCGGTGTTCGAATGCGTCCCCACCGACCCCCTTTTCCGCATACCGGCTCACAGGTTCGCGGCCCCACAGGGAGCTCCACAGATGGGCTCAGTGGCGGTGTTCGCATGTGTCCCCGCCACCTATTTCGGCACACCTCTCGCACGCTTCGTGGCCCCATAGGGAGCCCCACCGGAGGCCCCAGTGGCGGTGTTCGCACGCGTACCCGCCACCGACGCCGGCACACCCCTCACACGCTTCGTGGCCCCACAGGGAGCTCCACCGAAGACGATACTCACAATTGCGTTATTCACAACTGTACATGTTTGGGCCCTTCGCCAGGCTTATGTGACTTCTTCTTTGTCGCAAACAGTCAGAGCTGCTCGGAAACGAAACGAGGACGAGGAGGAGGCACGAGAGAAGGAAGGCAGGGAGAGGAGGATGAGGAGGGGATGCCTGCTGCGGCAGAGTGACACGTTGTGTGACGGGGCGAGCAATGCGGCAGCACTCGCAGGGAAGAGGCTCGGCGAACTCTGGATTAACTGGAACCACACGCGCGCTTCGCGCGCGCTTGGGTACTACTGCGGCTCGCGCGATGAAGCTTTGGCTCCATATGGGAGGCGCTGTGATCCAGGAGCTCCAAAAGACGGCCACTGCTTATATCATGCACTGCGGAACCTTGCATGCTCAGATTGCCGATCGGAGCGTCTCTGTGCTTAGATTGCCGATTCGGGCGATTCCGTGCTCAGATTGCCGATGGGAGCGATTCGGTGCTCAGATTGCCAATCGGAGCGCTTCTGTGCTCAGATTGTCGATTTCGGCGTTTCTGTGCTCAAATTGCCGAGTCGGCGTATCCGTGCTCAGATTGCCAATCGGAGCGATTCGGTACTCAGATTACCGATTCGGGCGATTCCGTGCTCAGATTGCCGATCTGAGCGGTTCACTGTTCAGCTTGCCGATCGGAGCGATTGGTTGTCCATATTGCCGATCGGAGCGACTCGGTGATCAAATTGCCGATTCGGGCGTTCTGCACTCAGTTGGCCGACTCGGTGCTCACATTGCCGATCGGAACGATTCGGTGATCAGATTGGCGATTCAAGCGATTCCGTGCTCAGATTGCCGCTTGGGGCGATTCCGTGGTCAGATTGCCGATTCGGGCGTTTCCGTGTTCAGATTGCATGTCGGAGCGATTCGGTGCTCAAATCAGGCGCGTCCGTGCTCAGATTGGCGATTCGGGCGTTTCCATGCTCAAATTGCCGATTCGGGCGTTTCCGTGCTCAGATCGCCGATCGGAGCGATTCGGTGCTCAGATTGCTGATTCGGGCGTTTCCGTGCTCAGATTGCCGCTTCGGGCGTTTCCGTGCTAATATTGCCGAATCGGGCGATTCCGTGCTCAGAATCCTATTTTGGCGTATCTGTTTTCAGGTTTGCGGTCGGAAAGCGATTCTGTAGTCAGATTGCCGTTTTGGGCGTTTCTGTGCTCATATTGCCGATCGGAGCGATTCGGTGCTCAAATTGCCGATTCGGGCGATTCCGTGCTCAGATTGCCGATTCGGGCGTTTCCGTGCTCGGATTACCAATTCGGGCGTTTCCGTGCCGATCGGTGGCGGTGAAAGCGTTTTCTGGGGCAGACTGCTGCGCCAGATGCTTTACACAATGACAAAGAGCTTTACAGCAGTCCCTAGTGGAAAGGTGGCCAAGTCTAAACGACCAACTTATTATGTAAACTGGTTCCCCCCCAGAAAACCTGAAGACCCGTTGCCATCAGGACCCGAGGGGCAACGCTAGGGGGGGACTGGCTCACGAGGGGAACATCGACTGGAAATCGGCGGTGCACCGCCGATTGATCGGCGACAGGTTCCTGGTGGCAAAGCCGCACGATCCCTGGCGGCATGGGCTATCGGGCCCATTCGGCGATCGATGGGGCGATGTGGGGTCGATGCGTCCACAAGTGAATCTATCACCTGATGGTTTTCGGGTCGTACTTTTGGAGTCCCCAAAACGGTGCGGTGACAAGCCGTGCGGTGACCTCGACATCCCCCAAAACCTCACCGCACGGTCCGTCAACGCACGGTCTTGGGACCTCGGATGCTCCAGTCGCCCGAGACGTCCTCGGAGAACGACCCGAGTCCCAACACCGTGCGGTGACCCCGAATCCCCACCGACTCACCACACGCTGTGTTCACCACCCCGTCTGGGGGCCCCCGAGGAACTCGGGCCTCCGGAGGCCGTCCAGGGAGATCCGAGTCCCCCGGAACGCTCTCTGCGAGGCGCAGCCGCAGGAAGGCACCCCGAGGCTGGATGGCGCCGCCAGAATAGGACCAGATCCACTGCCGCTGGGTTGTCTTCCGAGGACTCGGGGAGCGGTGGACAGGGGCATCTGCCCGCCCACGCGGGCGGGCAGATGTCCACCTCCATGATGGCCTCCACGAACCTGCGGCCCCCACCCCCACCCCCTCTCGGCCGCCCCCTGAGCCCCCGCCCCCGAGCTGACGCTGCCCCTCAGGATCCGCCTCCCTCGTGGCGAGCCCCTGCCGGCGGCACGCGCGCGCAGGCTGGCGGCGGGGGGGGGGGCAGGCCTTTCGGGTCGGTGTGCTCGGGCTCCGCCTGAGACCCCCCGCGCCCCCGTCCCCCGCGGCCCTCCCGCCGGCCACCCCCCCGCGGCGGAGAGACACAAGCAGCTCAGCAGCAAGACGTCCTCCAGCAAACACTAGACTGGTAACACGAGAGGGGGGCTGGGTTCCAGAGGATTGGCAATCCCCAGAAGATTGCAATCCCCAGAAGATAGGCAAATCCCCAGAGGATTCGGCGACCCTGGAGTATCCCAACGCCCCCCCCTTTCGAGACCGCGATCAAGCTCGGGGCCAGCGTGCCCGTCCGTGCCGCGGCCGCGGGAGTGCCCTGCTCACGCGGGGGCGGGTGACTGGGCCAGCGAGACCCTCGGGACACCGCGCAGAGGGCGGGCGAGACGGTGTCGAACAGAATGCACAGAGAGGGGAGTCAGGAATAATTGAAACAAACTTATAAAAACAGACTCAGAATCGGCTACGGTATA